ATCAAAGAATTAATTCCTGCCAGGTACCCATTTACATCACCTGGGTTGAGTGTGGCAAATGTAGTTCAATATCTTGTCAAAGGACATTAGTGCTGCGGCAGGTCTTGAAAAGGCCGCCTAGTTGGAATGGTCCCCAGGGAGTGGAGAATGTGCATACATTGTGTGGGGGCAAGCCTGAATCCAGTGACAAGGGCAATAACATATCTGCAAAGCGCTAAGAGACATCATGGATGCATTAAGGTCTATATTAACCTAGAATACCATTATTGTTATCATTCTATCTGTACCTGATAAATGCATGTATAGATAACTCTGAATGGAATCTGTTGAAGATTTGTATATCAAAATCCAATCGTACCCAATGGGTTAATCTTCATACACACCCCTCTGTCGGTGATATCATATCTCACTCTTAAAGATTAAATTTACCAAAGGGATTACCCAACTACAGTACAACTGAGCAATTAAAACTGACAGTTCTTGACAGCAAATCTCTTTGACATGTACAAATAAAAAGTTTCTTAACCCATGAATAAGGCTCGTGCAAGAAAATATAATTCTTAGGTAACCATGTAAGATGCCTCATTGTGTAAGAATACAATACATCATTGTATAATTATTCCAGATTAAGACAATTACAAATACTATTAACACTACGGTGTGTAAATGCTTCATTTAAATAAAATCATGATGAAGTTATATCATATCAATGTTTCCATGAGATCGAGTATACTGGAGTAACAAAGAATTTCTGCTCTATTAGGATGAATGATGAATCAAGATCAGTGGAGGGGGAAGAGGGGGGGGGGGCAGAAATATTGATATATGTACAAAATAAGATATCATTATCAAACAATTTGAATAAATAACTAAAATTATTGTATAAATAAGTAGACCTGAACATGAAAACTACAGCATTAATAATCCATGTACATGTACTGTACACAGTAAAGGTACTTTATGAACAAACATGTACTATTATAATAAAAATATGATTAATAGCTGTTTCATATCACACCATTTTACAACAACTGATCACAAAACTATAAACATATGTACGTGCTCATTTCCAAGTGTCATTAAAATCTTTCCTTGAGGCAAGCATTTTTTAACCAAAAACTTCATGTGCACAGAAACACAAAACCATCAACCCCTGTATGTATTAGATACTTATCGAGAACACTTTGCTTTAATATTTGATATCATTTTGAATACCGGTATGCAGTGCTTTAGAAGCTATTGTTATGATGAGAAAGCAACGAATGTCCATGTATCATATTTAGACAAGAAAATGAAGTGAATTAAATCTCCTATTTGGATTTCAGACCACCATGGAAAAGAGTATTAAACAGTCAAAACCTGGTTTAGCGACCACCTGTCTACAAAGAGCACATTTTTTGTTTCCCTTGAAAATGGTTTCTCATTGAAACCCTGTCTGTAAAGACCACTTTTCTTGTCTCCTTTAGTTGGTCTTTATAGAAAGGTTTCACTGTATAGATATCCTAACTCAACTGTGAATGCAATTTCTGGTTAAGAAGGATGTTGGACACCAAGACATATTCATATCTCTTTCATGAAACCCCCCTGGGCTAATTTATCCTCTAATTAATGTGGAAACGATAAGAGCGCAGCACATGACCAAACTCCAATCAGCTGAAATCCATTGTTCAGCTAAGACAAACAAGAGAAATCTAGGCAACTATAAACCACAACAATCACAGTATATATGTAGGGCAGGCCAAAGTCATGCAAACCGAGATTGAGTTTAACCCTATCACGTATCAAAGGGCTCTTTACAGACTGGTAGATGGAATAAATAGTTGACTACATAATGCATGCACAATAGGGGAACTTACAGGCTTAAATGAAACTGAAACTGAAATTAAAGACACTTTGAATTGTTTCTTGCAACAACAGTTATTTGTCTCTGTCATTCCATCTCTGTATAATGATACTGCATGTCCCTCCTTCTTTTCCTTTCATTCTCATTCTGCATATTCTTTCTCTCAAGATGGCTTCTCCTTTCTGTTTTTCTCCCTCTTCTCTACACTCCTTTATCTATTTAGCTATTCATTCTTGATTTTGTTTCTTATTCTCAAGCACTCTATCTCACTGTGTATATATCTTTCTTTCTTGATTTCTATCTCTGTATATTTCTATAAATGCACATGTACCATGCAGTCTACATGCTTAAAAAGAAAAATATACATTTGCATGTATACAAATCGAATGGAGATATTCAATGAAAACCCCCCAAAAAATGTTAACCCTTGGTCAACTGGATTTAGGGAGCAATAAGAGAATTGAGTACCGTAATTAACATTGTATAAACCACCCTTGTGTATTAACCACACCCCTCTTTTAGGTGAAGGACCTAGGATAGAACCTTGTGGTACGCCGTGTAATAGAAGAAAAATTGGAGGAATTATTATTATAAACTACATATTGAAATCTATCAGAAAGATTACTTTCAAACCAAGATGACAGACAAATTTGAGTGTTGTTCGAGTTTCCGATTGGTGAGTCAAAACATCAATTACTGAGCTGGGAGACATTGCCAGGCATAGCGCCAGGTAGAGGGGCATAAATCAAAACTTTAATTTTTTTTTTTTTTGTACCGTGTATGCACCGCACCCCCGACTTTGAATTTTTTTCGGCGGCAAAAAGGTGCGGTTAATACACCGTTAATTATGGTAGTCAACAGTTTAAAGCCTATCTCCACTAGTTTGGCCAGGGGGGATTAGACCTCCCTGCGTGGTAACTGGCAGATGCATTGTTATTTCATCAAATCAGCTCTCAAATAACATAAGAAAAAGGGGACCATGGGGGATCGATGTTCACTGATTAGGCATTGTTTGCCATATAGAGGGCGCAAGTACATTGCAGCAACAAGTAGTGCAGTCCCGCTTTAATATCTAAAAGGTTCAAAGATCAAGCACTCCTTCAAGTTTCTCGGTACACCAGGAACCAAGCCATTGTTTCACAAAGCATAAGTACAAGTTCCCTGACAACCATTGATACGTGTATCAAATTTAACACATACGTTTCAATGGGTTGTCTGCAAACTGTAAATTATGACGGTTTCTTGAAAAGCTAGTAAAGCTGCACAAGTGCCCTTATACTCTGTTAATCTGAACTCTTTCTGCGCTGTGATCAACTAATGGAACAACCACTGGTCTTCCACACTCAACTTTTGTTGCATGCTGAATGGAGCATCATGTCACTCAAGTCAATATGGCAATTAAGGGTTTCAGATAGTGGATAATCCAGCTCCTTAATCCTAATCCACTCTCTAAAATATAAATAATAATTTTTGAGGGTTACTGAGTTACATATTGAAGTCTTTTTCTGATTTTCTGTATTGGTTGTCCCCAAACAATTTTTTGTTTAAAGTTTATTTGCTTTGTTACCAAGGAAACGTATAGGTTAAAAGCATGAATTAAGTCAATCAAGGTTAATTAAAAAAGCAACTATTTGCATGCATGTGACTGTACAATGCTCATCATATCATAATGAACGCGATAATCTATCTCTGCGGTTTGCAGTAATGACTCATGGATGAAAGACAAAGATAGAATACAGCCATGGACCTACACGATACAACCCTGTGATAGTTAATGATGGTCAAAGGAAGTACGTAGGTTTCCAAATGATAACCTATCCATGTCCAAAGTCAACAAACTTATATGAGCTGGGTCCCTATGACTCCCTACCTTCACTACATTTTCCTACATGCTGTATAATTGTCATGGCGAGAGCAAAGAAATTGGTGCCAAAAAGATAAAATATAGCCCCCCCCCCCCCCCACAAACCAGGATAAAACATATATTTAAACAGTTAAGATGACATTATCTGACCCATACTTTTGCAGCTACAGATCACATGACTATTCACCCCTAGAGCAATTGATAAGCTGTAGCCATAATTATAAAGATTAAAGAGGTTCGATATGACAATGTCGATCAATAAAAACACACTAATATTTTGACTTGTTCTGACAAAAAAAGGGGGGGGGGAGGCATGATCAGAGTTCATACTGAGTCCCCAAATTTTTCTTCTTTAATTCTCCATCCTGCTTCCTTAATGTAACTAGTATTTTATAGGGTATTTCACTGGGCGAATGACTGATAAGTCAATAAACCATTGTTAGTATGTCTAAACTGCCGAGTAAGGTTTTTATTGCATGTGGTTCTTCAACTCACTCAAATAAACAAAGATATTGACACAACTTGAACACAAGGGGGCGCAGGTACTGCTCAAGTCATGGCAAACAAGGACTTGACAGTTATTCTTAAAGCTACCATGAACATGTACATGAATTATGTAAATATAGTAGAAGTGACAAAAAGGTAGAACAGTGTAAATTAAGCACTTCAAACAAGTATTCGGTGGTGAAATAGATGGAAATACATGATGAAATGTAAAGAAATAAATAGGGAAGGAAAAGAGAGGGCTAAATAATGAATTTTTCAAAAGAGAGAGAAAGAGAGAAAAGGAGATCTGTGAAAGAAAACAAATTGTAGTTTGGAAGAAGTCAAGAGGAGAGAGAGGAGGGAAAGAGATGAGGAAAGAAAAGCAATTGGAGAAGAGATGAAGATGAGATGAGAAAGGAGGGGGATTGGAAGAAGTTGGAGTGAGAGAGGTGAAGGAAGAAAACATAAGGAGGAATGGAAGAGATGCAGGGATTGGTAGAAGTTGATGGGAGAATTTGTGAAATCAGAAAACTGGAAAAAGAGAATGTAGATATAGGGGAATCAGAAGAAAACAGCAAAGTATGATGGGGAAGAATAGAGAGAACTTGTACGATAATGGAGAGAATGAGAGGAAGAAAGAATGAAAGAGAACCAGAGAGAGAGAGAGAGAGGGGGGCAAGGGTATGGAGGGTGGTGGGGGAAACAGAAAGAGATAGACATAGAAAGAGAGAAAGAGGGGGAGAGAGTGAGAGAGAGAGAGAGAGAGAGATGATACAGAGAGAAGAGAGATTGTTCATCTCAGCTTACCTCAGAATGGTGCTGCCAAAATGTTCTCTTTGTTCTTTGGTTGCCCTGGGTAACTCTACGGTAGTGTTGAGCATGATATCCGTTATCCAGCCAGAGAACTTGGTAAAGGCGTGTTTGTTGAGAGAAAACAAGATGTCCGACAAGTTATCTACCACATTCCTAGGAGCTCCTCCAGTTATGGCCTGCAAGAAAAAAAAATATCAATAAACTGTTTAATAAAACAATTGATAATAATATTCTGATTTTATGTAGCGCTTAACAGAAATATCATTACCCCAGTCATTGGATTAGGGCTTAGTCGCAGACAATGTATGCACATTCTCCACTCACTGAGGAGTAATCCAGCCATTTGGCATTCATCAGATGTTCACAATGCTGAGAAAACTACAATGACTTCACATCTATGATCCTACCCAGTACTCATTTACAGTAACACCTGGGTGAAGAAAGGAAAATGTAAATTAATGTCTTGCCAAAAGACATTAGTGCAACGGTGGGACTTGAACCGTGCACCATGTGACCCACAGACCACAGTCCTGTAACGTATCCACTAAACCACTAGACCTCTACAATTATGGAGCCCCATTATTTAACATTGAAACAAATTTAAAACGCGGGGCAAATAATGTTTTGTTTCTCCTAATCATTTTTGCGTCGGTAAGATAATAGAGTGCTCTGTTCCAAATGTTCTAAAGATCATGATGAAAGCAAACTACAATAATTTTCAGTCCTATTTCATCTTACATGGATGTGAATAGGTACTGCTACAAGTATCCATGCATCACCGTATAACCCAAGATAAAACCCTCTTCTTCTTCTTCAAGTGCCTTATTATTAAAGCCTAATAAATGACAAGCCCTCCATGAGGTTTCAGAAAACCAATCTATTCCAAGCCTAAAAGTGTACGAGAGGTAAAATTATTTTCAGAATACCATCCTTTTTTAACATTGCAACATGGGACTTCCCAAACTATAGTGTGTATCCAGATATGCCAACCTTTACATTCAGCTTTCAGGGAGGATGCACTCAGAAATCAGGGAGGATTCATTCAGAAATCAGGGAGGATTCATTCAGAAATCAGGGAGGTTTCTATCAATTGCATACACTATAATAGAAATAATCTTTCAAAAAAATGAGGGAGGCATTACATTTTGTGTGGAGTGACGTTTTTTTTTTTAAAATCGGGAAGGGTTGGCATCTCTGGTATATGTATGTGGGGTGCACTTCTTCTTTGCATCGAAGTCACATACCAAATTCAAATTTTGAATACCAGGTACTCTTCCTATTTCCATGTACCTGGAATTTGAGAAAATTCTTAAGCTGGTTTGGGGATTTATTTGGTGGGGAGGCGAATTTATTTCATTCTCTCTTCAATACCCCACCCCAACGGCAACCTCTAACAAATGGGGGCTTTCGGTAATCTTCCCCCAATGGTACCCCATACCTATCCATTGTTAAGGAAACTTTTCCTGATCAAGGGGTATACTTGAATGGCATCTTCTATTAATTTCCAGGTTTGAGAAGTGATCCTTATCAATAATTTTCTCTTAAAAGACAAAGGCTCTTTTCAAATACATTATTGCGATTCCATGCCCTAGCTATGCCTTTCACAAGCCCTCCTTTAGAAAAACATATTCTGATCATAAAGTAAATATAATCCTTTTATATCTGTTGACCACCAACAAAAGAAGTTTGTTATGAAAGATAACGGCTGTTGTTTGATCTCTATTATATCTCAATATTGATTTATCCTTTGGACTCCAACCATTGTTTTGGGGTACAGGGGACAAGAGCTCCGTGTAAACAACAAAAACGTGATCTCACGAGCCCTACGTTCCCTGCGTGCCAATATTGTGTCGTCCCGTTGACAAAGTGTTGACTTTCTGTATCTTGACTTATGATAGGATTAATCTATTGCACCTCAACATCCCAATCTTTTATTATCAGCGTTATCAGAACAATATTATTTCAAGCTAGATGACATTAAGTATTTATTTCTGTTTGTGTTTTACCTGGCAGCTGCTGGGTAAAATATATTTTGTTATTCAATCATCAACAGAAGTCTAGATTGGAGAGAGAAGAGTATTGTCCTTGAAGAAGTTCTTTGTCATTACACTCACTACATTTACTCTCTTTCAATACCATATTTTATTTAACCTGTCGACTATTGAATTATCTCCTTCCCAAAGACTTGAAGATAAAGTCGAGTTCTGGCCATGCAATTTGCATTGTGAAAGAAATGTGGTGGAATCAATCAGAAAAAGTTGATCATGTAGCATATAAGTATTGATGTGTACTTTAAGGTTGTAGAATCATTAAAATGATAAGAAGTTTGGCCCAGTCTTGGTAAGTAACAAGCTCTGTACACAAAAAGATGTATATGGGACTACACAAACATGCGGCATAAAAATGAGGCCCGATTTTTAAGCTGTTACATGTCACATTTCAGAATATGAAAGCATTTGAAGAGCGATGCTTTGCAGGGAACATTTTTTATCTGATGTTCTTCCACACTTCCATAATAATAATGAAAACGCTCACAAATAATTTTTCTCCTCTCCCCAGAACACAACCTTCTCTTTAATACAAGGGCCACCTGGTTCCTGTTACCAAGGGGTAACATTCACTGTACAGCAAAGCCTCCCCCCCCCCCCCCCCCCCCACCTCGCCACAGACATTTTCCTATACAACACTGTCTTTCTTTTTTAGAGAGAAAGAAATCATCAAAAGCTACTTCAACATAGCACATTTTTAATGAAAAGGCATCATAATTTTTCTCTTTATAAGAAACTCAATGTTTTCTATATATGGGTAGTTCAATAAATTAGTGACCCACTTTGTGACATTTTGGGCGTCCCTGGTACATAAGGAATAATTTTTAAGTGATTCTAGATATGAGGATGCAATATTATGCATGGAAATCACTTCACAATCTCACTCCACTTTTTTAGTATTTACTCAGAGCCACAAATACGTGTGGGTTGATTTTGTAACAGGGACACCAAAAATGTCACAAAGTGGGTCCCTAATTTATGGATTTACCCATATGATATGCCTTTGCTTACTCATCTTTTTTTTAATGATCTTGTTATATTATATCTATATGTATATTGTAAAGTGCATTGAAATGTCAACATACATGAAATGCGCTATAAAAGAACAAAGTATTATTATTATTATTATTATCATCATAAATCTTGTTCGTATAGTCATATTATGTCTTGTGAGGGCAAAAAAGCTAGGGCAGAAGACTTGACTTCATTTCAAAAGTCACAACAATATATTTACAATCTGATCTACATGTAGGGCACACAATCTCAAAGTCAATCAAAGCAAACGCTATCAAGTTTATACTGTTTTCATGATCTACAGAGAAGGATATAAATCATGGCAGATACAGGGTTCGGAACTAAACAAAATCTAGGGCACGATACTTGACTCCTCTAATGTCATAATAATAAAGTTCTAATCTGATCTAGGCCAAGACTCAAAGTCAATCTCAGCGGTCATAATAGCAACATTATCGTGATCAAGTTGGCTGCTGATCTGGTCTATCCTTCATAAGGTTGTTGTAATTACAAAGTATACAGTCATTGTTTTGGCTTTTTTTATCCCTGCGTATGTTTACCAGAAGTCACATTCTGAAGAAAAAAGGAGATCTACAGAGAAGGCTATAGATCATGTTCGATAGAGCCAGTGGAACTAAACAACATCTACGAAACAAAGTAAAAATCAGTGATCATAATAAATAGCAACGTTATGATCAAGTTGGCAGCTGATCAGATCTATCCTTCATAATGTTGTTGTAATTACAAAGTATACAGTCATTGTTTTGGCTTTTTTTATCCCTGCGTATGTTTACCAGAAGTCACGTTATGGAGAAAAAAAAGAAATCTACGGGAAGGCTATAGATCATGGTCGATAGAGCCAGTGGAACTAAACAACATCTAGGACACGATACTTGACTCCTCTAATGTCATAATAATAAGGTTCTAATCTGATCTAGGCCAAGTCTCAAAGTCAAAATCAACGGTCATACATGTATTAGCAACGTTATCGTGATCAAGTTGGCCGGTGACCAGATCTAAAAATAATGACTTTGTAATTACAGAGTATACAGTCATTGTTCTGGCTTTTTCTATCCCTGAGTGTGTTTACCAGAAGTCACAATCTGAAGAAAAAATACAAGGACCTTTTTTTTTTTAAAAGAGGTCCATATTCACATTTATACATAGCCACAGTTACCTACTGTATTGCAGGCCAATATGAAATCACTACTTAGTAGGCAAATAGGATGGGCATCTAATCTTTGACGTGAACAAATTTTTGCATCATATTGTAAAAAACACTTTGAAGACTGAAAGGTCGTTTACTTTATGCTATGTAAATCTGTTTTCAATTTTCTAAAACTGTTCAATCCCTTTAGTTAATGGTCCTAAATCAGTTAAATGCAATGAGGGGTTTCATACACATCCACATTACAAATACTGTTCCCAGAATATGTATTACATGTACATGTGTAACTCAATATGTCATTTGTTTGATTTGTTATATTTCCTGTATATATATATACACATATGAAATATTGTATAAAACCATATTATGTTCTTGTAAATGTATGACGAAAAAAAATATGTAGAAACCAAAAAATCAAACCAATATTAATCGTCCACATAGAAACTTTAAATACAAGCACATAAAACACTTTCAAAACTGAAAAACATTGATTAGCCACAATCGTTTCCTCTCTATGGGTTGGTGGGAACTGAGTCGTCACACCTTGGCCTTAACATTTGATATTTTTACCTGTCATTCTTTGTCATCCAAAAGCAGTATCACTCTACAATGCAGATATAACAAAGTACAAAACAAAATATTCAGAATAGTAAGAATTGAATAGACTTTGTTCGTTTGGAGCCAGTAGGGTGTTACATAAATCACACAATTTTATACAGATTTAAAGGGATATGGTCAGCAGTTTCCAAGTGCACTACGTCATAATACGCTTACCACGGACTTGGTGGTAATACCACCAAAAATTACCACCCATTTTCTCAGAGAGTCTTCAGGTGAGGGAAAATTAAGGATGGTGTCTTTTCCTTATGGGCCAATTGATGGACAGTGCACAGCATTATTAGAATACCTGGTCCCCATTTCACAAAAACTTGTCATCAGTGACAAATGACAGTTTTTGTTATAAGCTATTGAAATGCTTGCTTCTGATTGGTTATCAGCATATTTCTCACTGATATTTGTCATTGAAAAAAGGCTTTGTGAAACAGGTCCCAGTTGGGGATAAAAGTGAAGGCCCCTTCCTATGATTGATAAGGTCTGTTATCAGGTGACTACCCGAATGGTTTCAAATTCTCCATGAGAATACAAATGTGTCCTTAACATCCTTCTGGCTCCAAAACTGATCATATGATGTTTATACATGCCTTGAGTGTTAGCTCCACTAATGGTTTCCCATGCTGCGTTAAAACCTCTCCTGCTCCTGGTAAGTTATCGCTCTGTGATACAAAGTTTCCCTGATCGCAAACAAAGAGAAACAAATAAAAAAAATATATATATTATTTTATCTTATTGAACAGAAAATACACTGTATTTTTTTTAAAGCAATACATTGTCTTGGTAAAGGTTATGAATTTGGTAAAAAATCTGTTTTTCTTTGTGCAATTGGTTCATTGATAACCATAATGATGAGTTTTCTTAAATCACTAATGAAAATATACAGATATAAGAGGATGGCATGAGTCAGGGTTATCTGTCCAAGCTTGAAAGCATCTTTTCTCATTCAATACAAACAATGTGACCTTGGAAATGTCCAATTTAATTCATCTTGATATTCATTAAACATTGAATAAAGATTGATCTGCGAATTAAAAGCAATGTTCATATCTCAGTTTACAAGTGTAAATCTTGGTTTTTTCCACATTAAAAATGGTCAGCATCAAATTTGCCTACCAGTAGTTCAAGGGGCTTTTATTAAGCATGAAATCTAAAATACATGTGCCGGTTGCACATCACTCAACTGGTTCTATGACTTTGTATTTTCTTTATTAAAAAAACTTGCCACCAAGGTTTAGTCATAATTCACACAGATTGTTGAACAAATACAAAACTTACAAAGAAGAGACAGCAAGCCTTGATGGTGTGATTCTCAGGCATCGTCATGGAAACCAGACCACACTGAAAGATAGCCGCTAGGTTCAACTCATCCAAGGTGAAGATTTTGGTGTGCTTTTTTAACAACTAAATAAAAAGAAATGATAAGAGGCTTTTAATCTGACATGCAAAATGTACAATTATGAGATACTGTCTTAAATCACTATTGGGTAGAAAAAGTGAAATTCCAGAATACTGGTAGCAGCTCATATGCAATATTTTTCATTTAATAAATTCAACAAATTAATGTTTTTTATAAAGTTTGAGTGAATAAAATTGAATAAGGAATTACATGAAAATGCAAACCCATATGTGTAGACATGTCAGTGAAAAGCATGCAATAGACTATTTCAAAATAATATATTTTTAGTTTAAAAATACAAGTTTACAATGGTATTAATCAATGGTATAGAAAATATGAAGCACATTACAAATCAATTTGGAGATTCATGTAGTAAGTTTACCCATACACGTTTATAATGATTTGGCTAAGTACAATATGTTGTTTCTGTGTATTGTATTTTTCTATTTTTATGTTACTGGATTCATATTCAGTATATCCTTCATATGTTGATGGTGTCTTTGAAAACCATTCTTGCAATGTACATGGATGATGGAAAAATACTGTAAGTAGCTGAAATACATGGCTTGCATACTAAGGATAGGGAATTCGCACTACCATAACTCTCATCTTCAGTACTTTTCAATTATCTGTTTCAAAGGTTAAAGTATTGAAGTATTAATACAAAAATCAACAAGAATATTGATAATTCAGCGTCAATATTGCGCCACGGCTCAAAGCTCAAATTAATATCTGTTACTTTGAAATCTTTGAACCCTCTTGAAGATTTAAGTCTATATGTTCTTCTGATAATTAACATGCAAAAATCAAAAAAAAAATCACATCAAAATGACATTTAAAGTGGTTCAAGTTAATAAATATACCCCATGATAAATTATTCTGTGAAGGAAAAAGTATGTTCAATGCTGCATTGAATATCTTTGATTCATACAAGATACTATATCACCCCTTTAAGAAGTCACATATTTTTGCTCCTTGCACATATTAATGCCAAGATTCTGTTATCGAAAAACAATGCTCAATCAAGTACGTGATCGTTTAACTATCACAGCTTTTCAAAAGTCACTAAACAAAAATTAAGAACCCTGACCGACTTAAAATCACAAGTTGACAGTATTTATCCTCCTTGCACGTATCAAAGCCAAGATTGTGTTATCGAGAAACAAGGCTCAATCAAGTGCGTGATCATGTAACTACATGTATCAACAGTCGTTACATGCAGCAAAGGAAATGCTCTGTCCTTCATATCAATGATCACGGTCAATCAAAGAAATAATTATCTCCATTTGATAAGATAAACTTGAACCAATTCTTAGGGTATGAGTCATGACGCAGGTGAAACTTCTGGCAGTGCACCACAAAGAACAAGAAATGTCACATCAAAATGATCATTTCAAATGGTTCAAGTGAATAAATATACCCCAAAATAAATTATTGTGTAAAGGAAAAAAGTCTATTCAACGCTGCATTAAATATATTTGATTCATACAAGATTCTTTATAATGACTCCTTTTCATAAGTTTTTCAAAAGTCACTGAACAAAAATTAAGAACCCTGACCGACTTAAAATCACAAGTTGACGGTATTTATCCTCCTTGCACGTTTCAAAGCCAAGATTGTGTTATCGAGAAACAAGGCTCAATCAAGTGCGTGATCATGTAACTACATGTATCAACAATCATCGGTACATGCAGCAAGGGAAATGCTCTGTCCTTCATATCAACGATCACGGTTAATCAAAGAAATAATTATCTTCATTTGATAAGATAAACTTGAAGTTGGACCAATGTTAGGAGATAGGGAATGAGTCATGATGCATGTGAAACGTGATAACTTTATAATTGCTTTCAAAATGTTAGCCCCCGCCCTTCTCTCTGTTAGCCTCGCCCCTCTCTCTGTTAGCCTCGCCCCTCTCTCTCTCTCCCTTCTCTATGTTCGTCTGCTCCTTATTTAATTATCCTACAGTACTTTCATACATTTCTGCACCACCTCTGATTTGCTCTTCTCTTCCTTCTCTCTCACTCTACCCCAACCCCTCTTCTCCAACCCCCCCCCCCCCCAAAAAAAAATCCCTCTCTCTCTCTGCCTCTCTCTGCCTCTCTCTCTCTCTATATATATGCCTCTCTCTCTCTCTCTCTCTCTCTGCCTATCTCTGCCTCTCTCTCTCTCTCTCTCTCTTTCTCTCTCTGCCCCTCTCTGCCCCTCTCTCTCTCTCTCTCTCTCTCTTTCTCTGTCTCATCCTCTACCTATCCCCTTGTCTTGAAACATATTTCAAGCATTTGAAGTCACAGCTAAACCTTGAATTTCAGGCAGTGACCCCATAAACACCCAGCACAAAGTACATTCAAAACTACAAATACTCACCTGAGCACAAGTTGTCATGTATTCTTCTAATACATCGGTATGCTCTCTGGCATCTAAGAAAATCACACAATATCAAGCAGCAATATTAACCTCAATATCCACATATCAATATCTACACCTACAAACTCATTATATTTTCATGCCAATTTATTCGCCTTAGGCTTTGTGGCTACTTTTCACTAATTTTTTGTTGGTTATGACATAAAGATAGCCAAAAGTGATATACTGCGTATTGACAGGCTTCTATACTCTGTACGGCCTTGGAGGCTCTCTGTGAAAACACAATTTAGAGTAATAAAATGGTGATATATTTGTCTTAGAAGATCATCTTTTATTCAAATGCAAATATTTGTCTCACTGTTAATGGGTATTCTGGGTCTTTGAGTGATCCATTAAGGTTTCATATGAAAACAAGTTGTTCATATAGATGAAAGCGAGATGCAATGTACAACACATGTATAGCTCTTTCATTACTTTGACACTCAGAACAACTGATAACAGACTTTTTTTAATTCACATACATCAATATGGGATTTTTATTTTCATATCTACTCCTATGTCTAAGTCCAACCTCGGTCAAAATATTTAGTGTCGGCAGCACTTATAGAGAAATGGGTTCAATTTAATTTCATGGTAAAAAGCTGCGGAAGGATTTTATTTCAACAAATGAACTAGATAGAGATATCATTTTCACTTTCATCAATATTCATAGTAAAATCTACCAATTTGAAATAACAATACCATAGAGGTAGCTTGTACACATGTAGGTTGAAATGATGTTTAAATCCTTTTCACGGATCAGTAACAGAACACATGTATATGTATATGGTAAAAGATTCTAAATAGACGTGTATTATCAAAAGTAATGAACTTACTGTTTGGCAGTAATGATAATGTTTTTGATGAGAGTTGTAGGAATAGCGACGCGATGGCAGAATTGAGAGACACAACACTCCCGAACAAGATGATGATCTGATCAAAGGAAACAAAATTACATGAGAGAGATTAGTTACATTACAAGATGTATAGTACAGTACAGTCTGGGTTGAATTTCATTAAAATTCTGTGACAACATTTTTCTTACAACAGACTTAGCAGATAGATCATCACAGTATCATTCATGATTAGGTACAAATCTCTGAATCACAACATCCTTGGCTGTAGAGTTGACAATGTGCAATGCCCTATGAAATGAGTGATTGCGACTGCTGAATATCTCAAAATCAAATTGTGGTTCAAGATCCCTAAAACACATTAGTCTCCAAAATGAAAAACAGGCTGTTGAATGAAACCAAGCATCAGTATTTCATGGAAATGAAAATAATTTAAATATGAATTAAACAAGAAAACAGATTAAATTTCATTAAGACTTAGACAGGAGCAGTTCACATATATAAATGAATATGTAGATATGATGATTTATGCACATGAAATCACAGAATTTTGTTAACTTATTTTCAATGGGCTGATTTAAAACCTTGGGAGAAACAAAACTTGGGACAGGAAAATGAAATCTTTCCTACAGAATAGATTCGTTTGGAGCTGCAAGGTTGTGGCTCTGTATATGTTAAAATCTGTGTTAAAGTATATGAGTTAATGCTCTTGGATCCAAACAGACAATGCACAGGTATATCTTCTTAAAGAATGTAAAAACACTGTTCAAAGGACGTTAGTGCCTGGCTGGGACTTGAACCCGGTACCTTGTGATCTACAGTCCAGTGACTTATCCACTAGACCACAGCACCTCTAAAATACACTGAAGTACATAAATCACCTGTTGTGCTAGATCTAGCATGGTTGGTTGAGGGACAGTGTTGTACATCCGACACAGAAGGTCACATAACTGAGGCACCAGAGGTTGAAGGTCATCGAGTAAGGTTCTCATCGCACGCTTCAACAACTCACAGACAGACTGAAAATCAAAGAAAACATGATCTTCTTGTTGGTGGAGGTGTTATTTCAACTGGGATAACAAAGTAAGCAAATTTCTGCATGTACGTGAGCGGCGAAGGGGGACATTGTATTGGAGTAACCTTGTACGAGTCTTAAAGGTAATACAATGTTTTGGTAAGGGGTCATGAATTTGTTACAAATAAACATGTTGGAAGCATATCCAATTTTACAATATTCAATGATCGTTGTCGCGGTTGAAATCGAGTCTAAAGTGTTGAAATTGTAAATTATAAACTCTTTATGTTGTATAGTGCCCTCTCAAGACTGATATTACTTTAGCTCCAAAACAATGTTTCTTGGCTACAATCAACCGATTTGATATTCCCGTTTGGAAATTATATATGAGAACTGCATATTCTGAGATTTTCATGGTCGCAGCTACCATGGAATGGCCTTAGAGGCTATTTGAAATATATGAAATTTACCAGGAGCACCGGTAAATTATTAATTATTCAATTTTTCGAAAGCAGAAGTATTTTAGGGGCTAAATTTTGTTGTGCTTATAATACATCCACAGGGGCATCCAAATATATCAAATTTTAAATAATTACTATCCACCCATTTTTCAAAATTTTCCCAAAACTTTGCATTACCTTTAATAAGTCTTAAACTTTCATTTGCCATCAGTGCCTATTGGCATGATTAGCTTGTATGCCACACATGCTGATTGGCACAAAACAATAGACATCAATTGACAGAAGGATTGATTTTTGCAACACAATGGCTCTGCAAAATTGCCCATTTCCAGTCTTGATGATCTCCATGAGACCCTTTCCACACTGGTATTGGTAGGGGGGCGGGGGACAGGGGGGCGGGGGACAGGGGGCAGGGAGTAAAGGAGGAATAGCGACAAAGTACCTCTTACATTAATGTACATATTCATACACCATCCAAAGTTGTTACCTCTACAATGGCAGCGTCGGAGATCCACATATTGAGCAGCTTCTCTACGATTGGTAAGATCTTCTGCAGTATAAGAAGCACAGGCTGTGTATCCTGCGTCCCTGCTGATGACTTGCTCTCAATCTCCCCTTTACCTATAATGGACTTGTCCTCTCTCTTGATGTCTAGTGAGGCACAGAGGTTAGCCATCATGGTCAGCTTCACTAAGATGGTAGACTTCCCTGAGGGAGATGGCTAAAAGAACCAAAGCAACAAAACAAATTTCAGCATATTAGTTTGAGCATCACAAAGATGTTTTCTGTCTAGTGAACATAAGAGATCATATTCAGATACTACAATTAGACTGTTTATTCTGAAGGAAGGTTCAATGTTCAACATCTAATGTAATTATTACTGCATTACTGGTCAAATCTCCATCTTCCTCCTCCTCCACCTCATTATTATTATCACCACCGCCACCACCACCATCATCTTTGTCGTCGTTGTTGATGTTGTGGTTGTCGTGGTCGTGGTGGTCTTCATCATCATTTATCGTTGTCATAATCATTCACCATTGTCATCATCATCATCATCTTCATCATCATCATCATTAATCATCGTCATCGTCATTAATCATCGTCATCGTCATCATCATCGCCATCGTCATCGCCATCATCATTGTCATCATCACCATCATCACCACCATCACCATCATCGTCAACATCATCATCGTCATCGTCATCGCCATCATCATCGCCATCATCATCGTCATCGCCATCATCATTGTCATCATCATCACCAACATCATCGTCAACATCATCATCTTCATCATCATCATCATCAACATTATCGTCAACATCTTCATCCTCAGTCATCATTATCCCCATCATCATCATCATCATCATCATCACCACCATCATCATCATCGTCATCATCATCATCATCATCATCATCATCATCATCATACCCATCATCATCATCATCATCATCATCATAATCAACACCATCACCAATGTCCCTATCATCACCATCATCATCATCATCACCATCACCATCACAATCACCATCGTCACCCCCATCACCATGATCATCCTCATCAATATCCTTCATCCTACCTGTTGGTTGGCCACCTCTTCAAGAGCTTGTACATGAGGAGTTAGTATGACCTCTAAGTAGTTCATGATATCAGCTTGGGGCAGTGATGAGAGCACTAAACCAATCACGGACATCAATCTGGTGGCTTCCCTCGACTGTGAAATACATGAAATATTTGAAATAGAATTGTATTACTCGAATCATTGTAGCTTTAGTCTTGTTAAAATGTTGTGCGTAAGCCAGATGAAGAACCCAATCTGATCATTTACATTTTATGAAATCCTATATGAAGCAAAACAAACATATATATGAAAATCACAATTTTTTACAGCAGTGGAACTCCATGATATCTGTAAATTCATGTATACAAAATCAAGTGAAAATCAATTGATAATGGCTTTATAATGCAAATTCAATACTACAAATCTTTTCTTAAATACCGTCTTACCAGTTAAAACCCAAGGACTTACAGTGCAAGTACCTCATTAACAATTTCAATTATGATTCTGTTCCTAACAGTGCATTCTCCAATCCACTTGGGATTAATTCCAGCCAGTCCTCATTGTACAGGCCAACACATCATCAAATATCATTAACATATGTATGCTACTAAGTACCTAATCTAACACCTGCATGGAGAGAAACAAAACAGATAAAACGCCTTACTCTGGGTCATAAATCAGAGCTGCCAACCTTGTGCGACCAAAAAAAGAACCATGATGGCAAAAAAAAAGGAATTTCAAGCAAAAAAAAGGAATTCAATAAAACAAAACTTACAACCATGCCCAATGCAGAAATGTCCATTCCTCATGCTGTTTACTCCATATTAGGACCTATAGTTTATTTGCAAGTAGGTATATATATATATATATATATATATTTTGGGTACATGTATTATTGGCATTTCATTCTTTTAGAGAATATTGTTCTCTTCAAGTATGTTTTCAAGTATGTTTTAACCCGAGTTTTCTATTGAATTTGTGATCAAATCAACACTTTAGGGCAGTTGTTTGACGTGCGGTATGTTTTTAAAAAAAAATATATATAAAAATTATTTTTTTAAAGCGTATTTTATGAAGAAAAACATACTACCGTAATTTGGAGGAAAAACAGAAAAATTACGGGGAAAACGTAATGGTTGGCAGCTCTGCATGTCTTTTGACTTGATTTACCTTGAGAACATTAGCCATGAGAGCCTGTTGACTGGCGGTAAGAATGACTTCAGCGTGTGCCCTCATTCCAGGTATACAGTCTGACGCTATGTCCTTTAATGACATCGTTGCTGGAGCTGCTAATTCTGCATCATTCAAACCTAGCATAGGCACAAAAAACAACTTAATGTCATGAAGAAAAAAAAGGCTTCAATTTTTTCCATTATATTCTACATTGAACAAAATAACAACCATTTGAACTTTTAGACTTAGACTGTTCCGTAATGAAAAGTTTATGAGACGTTATAAAGAGCAAAAGGCAGGGCATGCATTTAATATGAAATAAAATGATTTCATAATTATCCATTTCTATCCACAGAATTTGTTGCTATTAGAACTGTACTATTTTCATAACCAAAGATTTTTTTATCATTACCCGAAATTGGATTGAAATCATAGAAACTGGTATGTTTGATTGACTAAATTTTAGAATTTCATAACTCTCTTTCCCTCCATCGGATTTTTCGAAGACATTCTGTGACATGTTTCTTCAATTCTTGTTATTATTCAAGCTGTAAGCACACTGAAAATGAAAAGACTGAGTGCCTTGCTAGCATACTCACCTGATAGTAAGACTGGTATAATAGAACCCAGTGCTTCAGGCATGTCTGTTAACCATTCTGAGTATGCACCTGTAAGATATATAGATGGGATTATAGTTAACCAGAGGCTGTCAAGGCATATGTCGCACCTGCTGTTTGGATTGTCTTACACAATTACATGTATCACATTAACTTGTTGACTACTGGATTCATTCATTGCCATAGGCTTAATACAGGGGCCACCTGGTTTCAGTAGGCAATGAGTTAAAGCCCCTCTAAAGTGTTGAGCGCCCCAAATTCGCCAAACATTTAAAGGCAAAATTTCACTTCAAACTTTGACTATTATCACCAACTAAGTATTATTTTCTTGATACAAACTTTAATTATAGATATTAATCGACTTTCTTTCTTTCCTTTTTTTTCTCATGGTAATTCATGGTCATTATTACAGGAATATTATCGTCTTTTGAAGTGAAACACAAAACAACAGCTCTAAACATACATGTACAAACATGTTCACATAGCTCATTTTAGTTTTAAAAATAACTTATTAGATCTGAAAATGTTCACATTGCAAGTTTTACAATTAGCCAGCATAAAAGACAATTTTTTTCTCTCAAGAATATTGTGGGTAAAATCACAGTAAAAGTAACCACATACATGTATAAACAAAAACCTGACAAGAGAAGATAAACTGCAGTATTTGTGATTACTTCATTTATCAATGAGGCAATTGTGGCATACAAAATACTGGACTTTCTATTCAAAGACCTACAAACTGTGTTTTCTCGTCTTACTCTGTCATTTCAAACTAGCAAAGAAAATTTTTGAATATGACAACAGATTGCCATTTTCACTACCATATCCTTTACATCCTTAACCACTTGACTGCGCACCACGTACATGTACGTGGTTAGGGCTTTACACTTTCAAGACCGTAGCACTGCATACTGCCTAGCCCTACTGTGTAATTAGCACTGCAATGATGTTATACAGGTCTTTAACAGTAGATGGCGCTCTTTCAAAAAAAAATCTGGCCTTTTCGTGTACAGTGTACACTTTTTGAACAGTCCAAAAATGCTGTAGCACAGGGTGTATGCCGTGCATTTTTACCCTTACTGAACTAAGGGGGGGGGGGGCCTGTGAGGCCCCCCCCCCCTCCCCTCCCCTCCCCCTCTCAACAATTTTTAAGATTGCGCCGCAACAGCTTGGAATTTTGAATTGTTGTTTCATGTCTTTTTTCCCTCAAGTCTTACGCACATTTTGATACCATTTTCGTTGAAATTGAATATACCTGTAAGGTGTTACATAACAATTAGTATGTGCATGTCACCAAAAAAGTGCTATAATAGTATAGTATTAATGACTGCTTTGAGAGAAATAGTTGTTTTATTACGCTCAAGGGAAGGTTAGAATTGTGCTATTCCCCGAGGCTTGCCGAGGGGAATAGCCCAATTGTAACCTTCCCGAGAGCGTATGAAAACAACTATTTCTCGAATATTAAAGCAGTCATTAATACTTTTATATGCCGAAAAAAAATAGACTAAAAAATAAAAAAATAAAAAATACTTTTTTTTCTGTCGAAGGTGAGAGTCGAACTCTTGCGTACAATGAGTGATGAATCTTACACCAACGCCTTACACCACTCGGCCATCGCGCGCTGTTCACATGCTTGGCAGTTTTGTACAATATATACATTAAAATGGATTGAAACCGGCTTCGGCGTGATGAATGCTTCGCAAAAGCACCCTTCTTTTACTTTTGCAATGCATATTGGCACGAACTTAGATCAAGATCTATCGGCAGATGTTGTTTTTTTGTTTTTGGAAGTTTATTTTCGTCTTCATGTCAACAATGCAAGATAAAATTGTCGGTAAGATCGATCGAGATTCAATTGTATTGAAATTACCGACCAATCCTTCGCACACATACGGTATCCTCGATCGCTCAAACCATTTTTTAACATGTAAACCTATGGGGTAACCATGGAGGCTGACCTATTTTTTTAATAACCATGGTTATTAAAAATATTAAATGTTTTATGCATGGTTACCGGGAATTTTACAGGAACAGTTGAAGTTTATGAATGCAATTCGACCAATCAGATGGCTGGATTTCTTAAGTGAGGTATATAACATATATTCATGTACATGTACAAGCAGAAATGTGAAGATATGAATTGATATCAAATTGCTTTTATATGTTTCTCAAAGTAACTTGATGTATTTCAGAACAAAAGAATACATTAGAAATGAAATAATAGATGTAATAAGAAATAATAAAACAATAAAATACATAAGAAATTAAATAATTGAAAATTGCATCAAATTTGCATAAATTATCATAATTAATTAAATCAAATAACTATTTTGTGTAAGAAAAGAAGTTTCATATGAATAATGAGTTTCAACATTCAAAAAGTGGAGTCTGACAATTTTTGTAATGATTCTAGTTCCCTATATATATATTTCCAGATTTGATATTCATGAATGCGTATTCATAATTTATGCAAATTAACCTATGCATTTTCAAATTTCATAAAAATATAAAAACCTCATCAATTTGAGATGAAGGAAACATTTATTCAATACATTTTCAAGATTCTTCACAAGTCTACGGACAAATATGTAGAATCTTCTGTAAAATGCACAAAATTAGCATTTTGCATAATTAATTAGGCTATAACGACAAAAATTTGCATATTAGGAAAAAACTAATTATACCATCTTGTTCCTTACGTTAATATCTACAAACATGCAAATTGTTCGCGTTCATCGGACATTCGACGGCCTAGATCATAGGGGGGGGCCTCCCAGCCCCAGCCCCCCCCCCCCCCCCCCCAGTCAGAGAGTATTCGAAATAGCCCAGTACAGTAAGGGTTAAGCCAATAGTAGTCAAGTGGTTAAATGTACTGACCTAGCATGTAGAGGGCAGTAGATGCTAGTTTGACGTGGGACATGTTGATTTGTCCAATGAGTTGAAGAAGGTTCGCTGCACACTGATCGTCGCCATAGTCACCTCCTTCAGCTATCGATCGGAACGCAAACAAACATGCTTCCACATGCTGTTGTCATGGATATAGAAACCAAGAAAGAAAAAATGAAGTTATTTCCTTTGGTACAAGGAGATTTTACCCCCTTAAAATTGCCAAGGCCTTTTCTTTTACCACCTCCTCCTCCTCTCCTCGTTTTTCTTTTTTCTCCTTTCTTTCTTTCTTTCTTTCTTTCTTTCTTTTTTTTTTTCTTTCTTCTCCTTCTTATTCTTCTCTCCTCTTCCGTCTTTCATTTGCTCTTGCAGATCAACGAGGTGTGTCCATCACAGCAGACATGGATTTTTACATATCTAAGGTACCAGTAAAATCGCATGAGTAACAGAAAGATGTACTTGTAACTTAATGAATTTTATTGCTAATATTGTCCAATATCTGAGAAGCAGACAGACTTACCTGCCATGAGGAATCTTGGTCTTGTATTCTCGTTAATGATGCATAGAGATGATTTAATAAGGGATCCTTCAGTAATGTGTGGCAGTACATCTAGTGCCAAGAAAGGAAATGATGTAAAACAGAGTAGAATTGACCCATTGAATACAAAGCCAAAGTGACTGTAACTGGAGTCTATGAATATGCATATAACAGGTTTTTAAAACAATTTTTAAACAAATTTCTTTCTATACATGTAAAATCTATCCAATGATTTAAAACTTTACTTACAGGCAACTAAACAGTTATTTTTATTAATCTATGACTGATAACTTGCTCTCTCACCCTCATGTAGATCAATCAATCAAATGAAATTTGGATGGTCTTGCTTTTTTTAAATCACATCATATGGTACAGGACACCATTCCTGGTATGCAAAAATGCCCTACAGTAAATTTTTAAATATTGCAAGGACACAATTTCCACTTTCTCGCCCCCTCCTCTCTTTCTCTCTCTCTCTCTCTCTCTCTCTTTCTCTCTCTCTCTCTCTCTCTCTCGATCCTCGATCTTCGATCTTTCTCACATACTTCCATCCCCTCTCCCATTTACCTGTCTCTTTCGCTCCTTCTTCTTTTTCAATAAGCCTCCAATGGCATATTGTGCTGGTACATTTAATCTCCCTACTTTTTTGACATATCTACTCTCATATTTCTCTTCCCACCATCTTCTCATTTTCCACATACAGGTATGTACTTGTATAATGGATGTATCAATCATTGTATATCTGTACTTACTAACGTATCTCCAATGTCTTGTCTGTAACATCTAAATTGCTCCTTTTCATCTGCAATAGAACCACACAAAATGTTTTATTGAAATTGTGCATGTATATCGTGCACGTACACCTTTATTTGTAACATAACTACTCAGAACAAACAAATAAAAACAATGAATCCTGAAGCCGATATGAAAATGTCGAGAAAGAACAGGAGTGAGCCCTTTTCAGGGCCAACCAAACCCTGTCTAAATAAATGGTGTCACCACAAACCTCGCTCAAATCTATCCTCACCCTGGAAGCCTTCAAATATTACAAAAATAATGAATTTAAATCTGAATGACTTGATAACTATGTGTGCACTATGTGTATTACAAGTATTTTATTGCATGAAGTTGGACACACGTATGACGCAGCTTGAGTGAACAAAGCATGTATTGTTGGGTCTCATTTTTAAGCATTGTACAAAAAACTTCAAATTTGTGTGTGTTCAGAGAGTTGACTACATGTACCATATAACATTCAAGGAATCCCTTTATGGAAAGTTTTTTAAAGAAGGAGCACATTGGGTTTTTTAAAAACTTGTTAACAAGCAACCAATTTTTATTAAAAGCAGACGAATTGGAGAGGAAAATTGTCATCTGGATATAAAGGTGCCTTTCTCTGACAAACAACGTACAAAGTGTCACCAGGTACCCATTAACATGTATTATAAGATGATGACGTAAATCCTAATCAAATCATCCTTTTAAAGAGTACACGTGACCAGGCATTTATTTTGCCTTACGCATAATTTGGGTAATGACCAGTCATTACCCAATGATAATGATCGGTCATTAACACATCTAGCTTGTTGTTGCTATCATAAGCGCGACACAAGTCAGAGGTCCAATATTAGGTGCACGCAAGGCAAAGTACGCCTCAATTTGCGCTTATTTTAAACCATGGGTTATGTAAATGAGGATTTAAACCATCGGTTAGATTTAAACCTCCTTTGTGAATTCGGGTTTTTGAGTGGTGATTGATCAAATAACAAGCATCCAAGTCATAATTTTATCAAACAAATAATACACATCATTTTATTCGGGCATTATAAAACTACCCACACTCGGTACCTTGTGTGGGTAATTCTTACTAATGCCCTCACTGCTGTGTATTATTTGTATACTATACCTGGGTTGAGAGTGGCAAAGGTAGATTAAACCCTACACCTTCCTACCTTCAGTCCAGCCATCATACTCCTCATCATCCGGATATTGCACTTTTCTGAGCATGACTTCTACCAGCTGTAGAAATACTGGGGCGTAGGTCTGTACGTACGACTCCAGCTTGTCTGTGTCCGCCGATACTATGTCATCCTGAAGGTCAAAAGATCAATGAACTCATTACATTACCGACGATGCTACAAGTATGTCTAGGTCTCAAAACGAAAATGACAAAACAAACTTAACTAAATGAAATGAAAGACACATAATCATAATTGGCTGTTAACATTTTTATATCTATTTTGTATTTCAATTTCTTCTATATATTCACTGTAATTGTAGATATATTTTTGTATTAAAACTTCTGCATGTGTTTTATCTGTTAAACTATCACAATTCAGTCAAATTCACAAGGGTAACTTGAGGTTTTACAGTCTATCAAAAACAAACAATCAAAAGCAAATGGAAATAAAGACGAAGATACATTAAAGTTAATATATATTGTACTTTCTCAAGCCTACTATCAAACAATTGTCTTTTTCACAAACATTCACGAAAAATGTAAATTTGGCCAACAGTTTACTGAAAATTGTCATTCAGGTGGTACTCTAAAGTGGGGAAAAAAGCATAACACAAATGTGATTGTTAATTCACTTTCCAAGCTAAAGCCAATAACCTTTTCTTACCTGTAACAGATACCAGAATCCAAACGGCATGTTGCTAATGGTTTCATCTACAGGATAGTGACCAGGTAAAGCTGTGAAACCCTGAATAGTAGAAAGAAAAAAAAAACGGTTGGTATTCTTGAAAATGACCAAGGTTAAATCTGATTGGACAACGTAGTGTACATGCCAAACAAATTCATTGTGATTCTCTCTAAAAATGCTCAAATGAAATAAATCAAGTCATTAAATAAAAATGAGAAAATATTTACGTAAATTTTTGTCCATTCATTAAATTAGATAAATATGGGATTTTTTTTCATGACATTTGGCAATACAGTAAATACATATGAATCATTGGACTAGCTCTACCTATATTGTCAGGGTACTTTATGAAATAATTTTATCAATTAAACACGAGAATCCTTAAATGAAAATAGAATATTTTGACAAAACATATGACATTTCTTTTTTCTTTTTTCCAAGCAAAAACACAAAAACACATGCCTTGAAAACAATGTTTACCTATGTATAATAGGAAAACTGGCATATATTAAGAACATAGGAACTAATCTACATGTAATATGGCTATATCTCAAAAGAGAAAAAAATGTACATACCAGTACTAAGCTTGTGAACTCCATGGCGTGTTGTTTGTCTTCTCCTGTGCTTTCTACTAGTAGCTTGGTATGGTTCTCACCTAACGTCACAGCCAGTCTGCAGAGACCCTGGACAGTGTCCTGAAGAAAACAATCATGTGTATACAATCAATCAAACAGAATGAGTTTCATAATATTATGCAAAATCAAACTTAAAGGCCCACTGCATTACTTGTAGCTACTTGCGCCCTCTATATAACAAACAATGCCTAATCTGTGACCATTGGTCCCCCATGATCCTCTTTTTCTTATGTTAACTGAGAGCTGAGTTGATGAGATTACCACCTGTCCAGTGACCTTGCAGGGTGGTCTAATCCCTCCTGTAAACTAGTACAGATATGCTTTAAGATTGTCTTTAGATGTACAAAATTGGTTTCATATAAAGCCATAATTTAAAAGAATATTAATCAAACATTTTTTCCCATTACCAGAACTCATCCTCCTTTTTAAACACTAGTAATGTTGATTTCAAATGTTATAAATTAAATTTTTTTTAAAAACCACATCAAGCCCCCCCCCCCCCTTAAAGCTTCTTTCAGACGTTAATGAAGAAAGGGTAGAGGCTCGTTAAGATGTGACACAGCAAAACCGCTGTAATGTTATTATGATGTAAAGTGCAATATGCTCTACATTCCTGTATCTTAAAAAACAAAGCTCAGTGAATACCCACAAGTTCTTTGTTGCGCGCAGTTGCCATTTATTTACACCTAAAATAAAACAGCGAGAGCTTTTTGCGGCGGTTTACGCACCATATCTAAATAAGACTTAAAGGACGTCTGTACTAGTTTGGCTAGGAGAGATTAGACCACCCAGGGTGGTCACTGACAGGTGGCTATCTCATCAACTCAGCTCTCAATTAAGAAAAAGAGGATCATGGGGGGCCAATGGTCATCGATTAGGCATTGTTTTCTATAAAAGGGGAGCAAGTAGCTACAAGTAGTACAGTGGGCCTTTAATATGCTCCACATTTCTTACATAACACAGAGCTCACTGAATACGCATGGATTATTGTTTATATAAACATGTTATATCTGAAGGAGCCTTTATATAATTCTTATTATGTACATACCATGTTCTTTTCTCTGACTGATGAAGCCAACATTTCTTGTAACTTGAGTACTTCCCGTATTATACTCCTCACTATTGATGGGTATCTAGTTGAGAGAAATAAATGCAAATGAAATAAAAATATATGAAAAAAACAGTTTGAAAGAGTAATTTTCCCAGACTAATTTCGAACTACATGTACTCCATGCAAATTTTATTATGCAAAAACAAGGTATAGAATTAATCATTCAGAAGGGCCAAGTTTGCAATATCAAATGTTGTGTTATTTTCTTAAATATTTTTACCAATTGTACAATACGACTTTTAACTGTTCAAAGCATAACTTTACAATCTTTGTTATTGTTTGGTTCATTAACGTTGTATTTACAATTTCGCTGTGAAATGTTTATTGTGAACATGACATCATCAGTCTCTGGACTACTGTCTTGAATGTTAATAAACCTAAAATTGAATCTAATTGAATTCTGTTTCCAAATATTGTCAAGAAGATGGAGAAAAATTTGATCGAGCGTGGCCTTGACTCACTTGTGTGCTGTGGGCTGTGATACGACATTGACCAAAGAATCGACGCAGTAATCAAAGAGATCTGGATCATGGATGAGTTGAAAGAGAAGTTTCTGGAAGGATTCTATTTCAGTGAGTGGTACGCTGAGTTGAACCCAAGATGAGAAGCATCGTAGAGCTTGATGTCTGATGTGAGTTGGTGAGTCATCTTGCTCTAACAAGGACTGCAACAGAGGCAACACTGTGGAGGACAGATAATCAAACAGTTAAAATTATATACTGCATATCAAGATTCTAGACCTCTGATTGGTCATAACTGCAGGTATGAAATACACTACTGACTGCTGAGCAGTGTAGCGAAAAATATTGGCTGGGCATACAAGTAGCTCTGGTTGCACATACAATGCAAGGATGCAATGATTGCGCATGAAGTTAACAATGGATAAGCACCGTGAGATGCTCTTAGATGATGCTCTTAGACAAGTTAGTTTCCCTAGACTCTATAAATAAATACATTTTGACAAGCATTTGTTGTTAAAATGTCTCTTTTTGAGAATTGACATGGGGATGCGGTATATAAAACAAAGATTGACTGCTTATTTGGGGATTAAGAGTAAAACTAGTAAAACTATAACTCCTCTGTGATCTGTACTACCGGTATGCCCCTCAACTTTGCCCTTGGTCACAGTACAGTTTTCGAGATCGCCTTGGGCAATAGTTTCAACCATGCCCCCTCAAAGCAGTCAATATTTGTATTGGTCCATGACTTTAAATGAGTTGTGATTTGTCTGATCCATTACAAGTCCTACAATCAATCTTAAATTAAGAATCTATGATCTATCTTTGCAGTTTCTTTGTTTAAAGTGTAAAAGTGAACACTCAACAATTCGCAATTCTTTTATAAAAATGGGCCCCGGGTATAGAACTGTACATGTATTTTATGTGACACTGGCTTAAGTTGATACTGAATGCAACTGATTGGTTGTTTGAACCAGTAACCAAACTGATGAAAATCAGTGACATGCAGGCGTGGTGACATGACAGTAAAAAAATGGAGAGAAAAAGGTTTGTTGATCTTACCATGCACCATGCCCTTCTCCAGTTCATGTCTGACTGTGCTCTTCCTATGCTGAGACATAGGAGCTGTCTGAAACTAAGACAAAAGGGAAAAGAAAATGTAGAGTTAAAGATAAACTTGAGTTCTGGTAATGATATATAATGAATTCTCACAGTATCCAACAAAACTTACACTGAATATCCAAGATTACAAATAAATGACATCTGCCAAACGATTTTGGAAGAAAATGTATAGGGGCTGAGAAACGAGCATAGAAAGATATACCGGTAAGGAAATCAAGGTAAGTAGGCCTGACATCATGTGTTTAACACAGATCACTATGTGCAAATGACAGTTGTGGCTTTTATTGAAGATGATTTCCAGCAAGTTTTTTGTGAGGTTGTTTTTATTTTACTGGGTCAAACAATCAATCTACTGCAGGATAACCAATCCAGAATGAATTATAGCCATGTACTCTCAACACATGATTCCCATACCAGAGCTCAAGATTAGCTTTAAACAGGTTCTATTTATGCCTTTGTTTGATTAACATACATTCAATTAGAGTGATTTTTGGTTATCAATACATTTGTTACGTGATTTGTTGTTTTGAATTTGAATACAAATGGAACATGATGGTAATGAAATGGTATAAAAATTGGAGTAAAATCATATAAAATTGGGTACCTGGTAGGAATTTATCCCTTGAAATGCTAGAGCGCCATATGGCAGCCGTGCTAAAGCCAGGGTAATAATCGGGAACGCCAGGAGGGTCAAATCTGACTGACATGAGCGCTATACAAGAACCCATTATTATTTATTATTAAAAATGGTAAAGCGCAGAATAATTGATCTTACTTCTTCCGGTAAGACTGTAAGTAGTTCCAGGAGTGCAGCACATCTATGCATAGCATCTAGATGAGGTGTGTGGGCCTGCTGGAACGTCTCTATGATACTCTTCACAGCATCAGGCCAGACATCAGGCATCGTACTCAGAGCAAACGATGAGAGCTGAGAATAGAGGGGTCAAGTGTGACGTCATCAAAAGACTATTTTTAGAATTTCTCAATTTGAACTTCATTTTCCGAAAGAACATCAACATTGTTGTCCAAGTGTCGAAAACCAATTAAACATGTTAAGTATTGGCTGAGATAAGACCATCCAAATAAAGATTTCAATAGGAAATCACTGTTATTTTGCTCTGGTTCGTAACGTTATGAGCCAGAGCAAAATAACAGTGATTTCCCAATGAAATCTATATATTCAGATAGATTTTTATGACATCACAGCTTCGGTACTCTATAGAACACAAAGTCAAACGAGATGAATGGTCTTCTAAGCCACAGGTGGGTGGTATTCTAGAAACTTTTTAAAAACATGTTAGCAAGATGTACATACTGTCGCTTGCTTGCTTACTTGCTTGCTAGGTGCCTTGTATGTTCAATTCATTTAAGATCACAGCTCTCCATCTACATCCCTCGACAATTTCATGCAATATGTCAACTTGCCAAAAATCATAAAATTGGCAATAAGTCCAGAAATATTTGTGCTATCATGATCAATTTAGTATCAAACAGAAGAGCTCAAAAGGTTCTTTAATTTGATGGATATATATCAATAGGGATGAAGTACAATTAAACATACTATTTTTTCAAAAACTCCACTTGGAGGGCATTAAGGTGAAACAAAGTCTTACCTATAACTGTATATGATAAGATATACTTATATCTTATATTTGGTCAATGATGTTTAGGACAGAATAGAGGAACATATAGCTTGGACTTGTTCTTTAAGATCACTTTCCCTATCAACATCCCTATATAACTAGACACATGTATATCCTCTGAATACTTACTGCTACACATAGTCTTGTGAGTACAATGCGTGTTCCTAAGGCCGAGTTGAAAATCTGTTGGAAGAGTTGAGTGCGTAGCATTTCATACTGCTCTGAAGGTACCTCAGGCCTGTAAGAAAGGAATAAAGTTCAGGAAATTTTATTAAATCTTATGTGGGGAAGGGACGTAACACAGTGTTTAATTAGCACAGCAAATCAGATAGAGAGCAATGTCACCAAAAGAGGCATTGAATCAGTCTTCCAGAAGTGGGATTGGCTGTAAACATACTCCTTTACTTATATTTTCTTTGTAATGTTTAAATCTGGACTTTCTTTTTGTTCGGTTGTGGTTGTTTTTTGGTTTGTTACAGCATTTTACACAAAATTCATGCTTGTTTGTTTGTTTTAATACCAGACTGCTAAAAAAGCATGTCTATGCTTGTAAGTAAACAACCAGGGGACCGAAGGCACTAGCAAATCGACTTGGTTTCCGACTCAAGACCTGCTGTATACCAGACCACTGCTCTACCACTGAGCCATTGAGTGTCTCACACATTCTGTACAGCAACTTTCTATTTCATTACCACCCAAACTGACAGCAGAAAATCTTTCAAATGCTGCCCCGATATAAAAGAACATGTACATGCTCAACTAGGTTAAAAAGACAAAAGATTTTATGAGACATGGATAACGGTGATCTTGTTAACATTATCTTAATGAAAACAAGGTATTTGAGCTGATTATAGCAACAGATTGAGAAAAACAGAAATTCACTTTATCACAGAATTAGCTAATCTTGTATCAACAGGAGCATGTAAAATTCAACTTACCAGCTGCGTGATATTTTGCTGTGGAGTACGCTGGCACCAAAATATTGCACCTCGGGAGCCTGCAATACAAACACATTTCAATGATAGAAAGTTAGAACAATAATACAGCAATAATCAGAAAAATGACTATGATAATCATGATTGACCCTTTTAACAAATAAACGAGCAAAAACAAGTTAAGTTCCGTACTACAGTGTATTCAATCCTCCCTCTCTCTCACATGGTGCTACTGCAAGCCTGCTGTATATTCAACATGTGTTTTTAAAGATTTTACATACCTCTAAGGAAAATCAGTCTGTGTGAATTAAACCTAATTTCACTGTTTAAAGCCTTCAAAATGTTTTGAAGTCAGAATTGGAGCTATCATCCTCACTACCCTGATCACAATAAGTCAATTGTAAATACTAATATGGATGATTGTTTCTCAGTAAGACTGCAGTCAGATTTTGACAACTATTCGTTTTTCATCCTACTCATCTTTAAAGGTAAAGACCAGTTTTGAAAACGCCCCCCTCTCAAAAAATGAAATGGAAGCTCTTATTACCAATCATGTGAAAGAATATGTTTTTACTAATACGTGATCATACAAATTTTGCTGAGAAACCGCCTACTACAATGTAATTGACATATTTGGTAAATTATTATATCTACTTGGACCTGATAGATATAACGCATGTGTCGCACATGTGTGCGAAGTCCCATATACATCTTTCTGTGTACAGTGCTTGTAACTTTAACAAGACGGGGCCAGATTTCTTATCATTTTGATGATTCCAGAACCTTGCAGTACCAATACTTATGCGATGATCAACCTTTTCTGATTGATTCCACGTTTCTTTCACAATGCAATTGCATGACCATAACTTGTCTTTATCTTTAAGAAAAACAATATGTAGTACTAAAGTGCTCTTTGTGCACGAGGTGTGCCTCAAATATCCCAGGGTACATGTAACAGCATAATATACAATTACAGCATGGAGAGGGGTTAACAGAAGGGAGGGGAAAACTACAGATCATATACAGGACTTGCACATAGCTTGAATCGATAACCTGTATTAAATTAAATTGATGAACATCAGTGAAATCTCTTTTAAACCAAGTTAAATTTCAGTTCACAATTATACCCCCTTTTTAGCTTGATGAACTCTAAATCTAACAAAATCAATGTTGTATTTTCCCCCCATATTTATCCAATATATTCTGACATTGGACTGTACATGTATGCAGATGTAAGATAAAAAATAGAATTGAGTAGACCACACAGAAACATAGGTAGGCAAGACAAAGAAGTTTTTAAAACTGGGTGATAACCAGATCACACAATGCCAAGAATGATATACATGTAATTGACGTCAATGGCTAATTGACAACAATCACCGGTTGAGAATTTTAATTCCACATTGTGTATCTTTGTATGTTTGGCTGTTCTATGAACATTCAGGGAAATCTGGCTTGTCATTAAAAAGCCAAATAATCAATTTAGAAGACTAATCAGAGCATAAAGACACAATGAATCAAAGACAAAGAAGTTGACAATGCTGGGAGATACCCTTTCAACATTCGATGCCAACAATGGTATAGCTGACGTCAATATCTAATTGGAACAAATTACTGGTTGAGGGATGACATTTTAGAACTAATAGGGGCTGGGCTGTAAGTTCTAGCTCCCATAAATTGATTTCAATAAGACCAAACACTTCTGGGGAAACCCATAGTACCAGTTGTCCAGTAGTACAAAGGGAATCAGGGATGTGGCGATAATTTGAAGATTATGGACGGGAAGTATTTTCATAATTGATTATCTCCTAGTGATGATGAGCTAGCTCTTTTCAAACTCAATTGTCTCTTACATCTGGGAATGAGGAATGAGTATAGATTATATGTCATATCTTGGAACAGTTGGAATAAGATATTGTTGGTTTGTACAAACACAGAGTTAGCACCCTTACAAAATGTAGGTCAGCTTCAGTTTTGATGACCATAGAAATCATCTTCAAAATATATCAATTGAGTCAATGTATAAGTATATTAATAGTTTGAAAATACAGAAACATTTCAACTTGTACAATCATACAGTATAATAAAATTGGATATTTATATAGCGCACATACATGTATCCACCACTTTAGGTGCTCAAGGCGCTCCAAAATATATGTAATATGTGTGGTGTTTAATGTAATAGTGTAACTACAGTAGATCAAAATAAGCAAAATAGACATACTGTTGTATAGGACGGTTTTGACAACAGAGGTATCAAATTGTTAATGAAGTGAAATGTGCAGAGGGCTGATAATCACTATTACTGTTGAGTGATTATCAATATAAGTATCCATACTTAAGGGATAATTCAAGATCTCACTGTAACCAGTCTAGACAAGATTAGTCCTTTCTCTCCCTGGCTTACCCCCTTGGATTAACGCTAATCTCCCACCCCTCACAATCCAAGCTAGTTTAGGATATCAATTTGTCATCACCGTGCTTCCTATCTCTCCTGACCAGTCATTCCTTCCTCATTTGGCCTGTTTTCATCAGCTCGAGATTGCCAAATATCCCGCTAGTTGAACTATCCCGATCGCAAATTGTCCAGCTAATTTGCGTCTTCATCAGCCCGAAGTAGAAATTAGCGGAATATTTGGTTGGGATAATATCCCAAGAAATATTGGTCTAATTTGCAAAATATCCCGCTATTTCCCAAATAGCGGGATAGTTTGCGCCCGTCTCCATCAGACCGAAGTACAGAGTCAAATATCACGATCCCATCTTGCACAACAACTTCCGGTGTTCCGTGTTTGTAAATAAACTTGCTTGTAGCACATGCTCTAACCTGCGCTGCATGCATGCACAGCTCACAGCCGGTACTTGTTTACGTTTGACAGCGCGGGTAAAATCTTAAATCATCACGCTGGTCGTACAGTCTGTCCCTGAAGTGCGCATGCTTCAATCTCAAGATTATTTTTCGAGCTAGTTTGTGATGAGCGTACCGGTCTGGTGAATACGCGATTTCGAGCATCGGGATAATATCCGAGTCTAAAAATAGCTGGATATTTGGCAATCTCGAGCTGATGAAAACAGGCCTAATTGTCCTGGGTGAGTTCCCTCCGAAAGCCATATTGATATGTCACAGTAATGAGGGAATATATGCAATAGGCCATTTTCGTAATGTAATCACATTAAATGGACAAATCTTTGTTAAGTGCCTTTCTACTAGTATACTAATTATTTCATTCATCTGTAACGAATAATTACATCTCAATAGTCAGAATGCGAATTACATTAATTGCGTGTTGTTAGGTATGACAAGCCAAAATGATCGTCCCTCCCTCCCCCTCCCTCCCCCTCTCTCTCTTTCTCTCTCTCTCTCTCTCTCTCTCCCTCCCTCCCTCCCTCCCTCCCTCCCTCCCTCCCTCCCTCCCTCCCTCCCTCCCCTCCCCTCCCCTCTCCTTCCTCCCTCCCTCCCTCCCTCCCTCCCTCCCTCCCTCCCTCCCTCCCTCCCTCCCTCCCCCTCTCTCTTATCTCTTTCCGCAGAAGAAGCATTCATGTAAACTTGGCCCTTCCCTTACCAGGGTAATACATGTGGTTTGTCTCTCAGACAGGTTGAGGAAGTGAACTAAAGTGCACAGCACTCTCTTCCAAGTCAAGTCATCATGAACATTTCTGATTCATACGCATCCACTAGACATGCTTGTACACTTAACAAGACCATGTGATAAACTACCTATGACATCTTGGGTCCACACCTAGGCTACATGTATAAGTCAAAAATGCTAATCATGACAGAGCCTGACAAACTCTTTTCATGCACAGTTTGGCAGTTTGAAATGAGCAACAAAGTAAAATTGCTCATTTCAGCATATTTTTCTTTCTTTCTAGAAACAAACTACATATTGTAAAACATTCAAATTCATGCTGGGTATTGAACGCTTTCTGGCTCCGTGTAAAAGAAACGTGTACTAAACAATTACAATAATGATACTATTAATGTCCTTCAGTTTCCAACATGCAAACAAAAAACATTAAAGGTAAAGACCAGTATTGGAAACGCCCCAATTTCAAAAAATGAAATGGAAGCTCTCATTACCAATCATGTGAAAGAATATGTTTTGACTAATACATGATGATGAAAAATTTGCCGGGAAACCGCCTACTAATTCATATATTTGGTAAATTTGTTTCTCTCATGGTCTGTGAGAGATATAGGGTAGTCCCATATACATCTTTCTGTGTATAGTGCTTGTAACTTTACAAAGAATGGGCCAAATTTCTTATCATTTTGATGATTCCAGAACCTTGCAGATGCTAGATGCTAGATGATCAACCTTTTCTGATCGATTCCACAACGTTTCTTTCACAATGCAATTGCATGACCATAACTGGTCTTTACCTTTAATAACAAAATATTGCCTTTTCAAAAGATGGGATTGCATGATCTTGCAATTTAAGTTCTATTTGTTTTTTATTATTACTTTGTCTGTCTGCATTCTGGTATTGCAAGCATAGCCTTTTTTTAATATTTACATTTGATTACAGTACCTTCAAAACTGAGAGAGTTGAGTAACACTTTATGTTTTAGAGTGCTCATGTGATGTACCGTATACATTCTTAAGGCTTATTTCCAATAAAATTTCAAGACATAGCGAAACAATGGAGTCGTATGGTACACTGACTTTGACAATTCTTTTTTGTTTCTGTTTTTTTTTTCTCATCATTTATTAATTGAATAAAACTTACATGTACAGTGTATATTGACTTCGACAATCCTTATTCAGTTAATGGATGCATTTTGTTTATCAGTAACGTTCAGGTCTGACTAAGCCCTAAAAACCACCGCACTACACAATCCATCTGCGATCCAATTTCAAATAAATGGCAATTATGTGAGATATGGAAATCTATACAAACATCATCTTCTGAATTTAGCTTCTAATTAGTGATAAGAATATTTGAATACTAACAGTCCAATTTTACTGCATTTACCCATTCTAGTCAAAATAAAAGCTGAATCAGCTTCAAATCGTAGACAGTAGCACTACACGTAGCTTTTCCTGCCCCAAGGAAGCTTGAAATTTATTACAATTTAGATTGTATTAAATTATCACAAATTCACGTCCATTGAGATCCTCGGTCATTAAGATTTTAGAAGTTTCAAAGTTCAAGTCAAATGCTACTGCAAATTCTTCTAAAATCGGTTTGTAGTCAGCTTGTATAATTTGGGGTGGGCTTAATCATGATAATAAAAGCTGGATTTATATCAAACTTAATACAAAATACCATCTCTACGCGCTACACAGATATTGTTACCCCGGTTGTTGGATTCATTCACACACAATGTGCACCATCTCCACTCACTGAGGAGTATTCCTATCATATGGGCACCGTGAGGGCATAGGCAATTATTAACACAAAGGCTTTCGTCATTCTACCGTATCCCCATTTTTCTCCTAGGTATTGAGTGGCAAATGTAGATAAATGCCGTGCCAAATGACATTAGTGCCTTGTCGGGGATCGAACCAAAGATTTTGAATTTCAAGTCAAGTTCTTAAACCACTCGACTACGACACCTCTACTTAATGTATACAGCAATCTATCCTACCTTGTTATGGTCTAGGAGAGCCCAGGCAAACTGCCATGCTTGAGGGGACCTCTGAGCCATCAGAAGCCAACGTTGAGCTGAATCTTTCACATCAGCAGACGGGTCGTAATACAGCTCATGGATCGCCTACAGAAATAGAATCAATTAGAAAGATTTAGATATATCTGAATAATCTGATCAAAACTGATTAAAAATTTGTCATATCTGGACCCGGGTTCGAAACCAAGGCGATGCACCAGTGCCCTTTGGTAAGGCATTAATCTTCATTACCAGGTCCCTCGGAGAGGACCTAAAGCCGTCGGCTGTCTGGTTGCTTACTTACAAGCATTTATGCTTTCTTAGCAGTCAGGTAAAATAACAACCCCCACAATTTCAAAAATGAATGCACATTATAATCAGATCCATCCTTCTCAGTATTGGCCTATCATACATGTACAGTACACTGTACATGTGTATGACTTAATTGTGACTTGAAGGGATTGGGTATCTTTGTCTCAGATTCTGAAACAAATCCTTGATTCAGCTAATGAATGCTGCAATCATAATTATAAACCTTTTAATAGGTCAGTCAACTTTTACAAGCCGATCGCCTGTCTGATTATCAAGATATTTATGATTGGAATTCGCCATTTCAAAAATGTTTTCCAAATGGTCTTTATAACACTTTAGTCCATTGTGGAAAATGAGTACATGTACCGGTATGGTAAAACTGATCACTCAAAGATTTTTACTTTTTTGAGGTACTGTACAACCGTACTTCATGATCATTTTGAAGCGCAATTCTTTTTAGGGCTTCAATATTATACCATATCACAGACACTGATAACACGTAGTGCCATGCATCTAAGATTTGTGGCAATTTTATTCTATATTGAAAACGTGAAATTATTTGGAGCTCTTTGAAAGGTTAAAACACCTAAATGACGAGAGTTTGCATTCCTCATCAACTTCACATACTGTCAGAACAACCATATTGTGCAAACACTACTTGTTGTTGTTATTGTTGTTGTTGCGGTTGATTTTTTTATATTTTCATTGTGATGTGCAGTGTCCCAAAAATGAGTACCGTAATCACTTTATAGATCATCTTCAATTAAAATCTGACCAAAAAACCTAATGCTCTGCATACAGTATTTCAACATTCACATCAACCTATTTTATTTTAACTAGTTTATTAATTTCACAATTATATTTGTTCACAACCTGCTTACAAACGTCTGCACACCTGTATTATTGTAGCTTTGTATCCAAATAAACATACAGAATTTTATATTTTAATGGGTAGTTGTTTCAAGAAATTGCCTCTGCACAATCCACCACAACACACCAATATCCCTCATATTTTTAAATGTGTCAAGCACTGTATACCTGTCCTCCCAGAGTCAGACTGAAAAGTTGGCACAATATTTGTTCACAACCTGCTAACAAAAGTTTGCACACTTGTGTTATTGTAGCTTTGTATCCTATTAAACTAGAAAAACCATAACTTAAATTTGTAATGAGTAGTCGTCTCAAAAATTGCCTCTGCACATTGAATCTACTATCACACCAATATCCCTCACATTTTTAGATATGGCATGCACTGTATACCTGTTCTCCCAGAATCAGATTTAAAAGTTGGCACAAGTAAAGCCTCGATCACAAATGCCATTACGAGCTGCTACGAACGCCGTACAAACGATTTTCAGAGAATGGAAATTCAGCAAGACAATGGAAAAACAGGGAGCTTCGTACAAACGCATCGTACGTACGAACCTTTGTGACTGTAGCATTAATGTAAACAATCACTTTCCTTCCATTTACATGCACCAAACATGCGCCTTCAGGTTTGAAAAGTATAATTAAAGAAGTTTTATTTGAGTTCTTACCGGTGCAACAGCATCGTCCACTTCACTTTTGGTTTTGGTAGTCATGCTTACCTTCTCGATGTTATCCAGAGTCACTTCTGGCTGACTCTCTCCTGATGCTTGCAGAGCCGAAGCCATTCTCATGAAGCTAGGCTGCTGCTGCCAAACAACCAACGCTCCTCAATAAATCAAAAGAGAAAGAAAAAAAAAAGTCCACAGCTCACGTCAGCCAATCAGGCACCTGAAGGCCTTCACTTCCTGTTCAGCGACAAAGAGGAGAAGGGAAAAAAGTTGGTGGCGTAATTGTGTCATTAGAAAAAAAGGGGGTTGAGGAACAATTAAAGTGGGTTTCTGGTAATTTGTGACATACGGGGCGGAGTTAACGAGAAAGGGAAGTTTGTTTTTTGCGTAAGCCTTTTATGCAAGTATGTGTCACTGCTCGTGTGAAGGTTGTCGCGCCGAGTTGAACGCACCGTCGTGCCCTATTGTGAGATGGCGAGTGATGGGTAGTTGCCATGGCGACACACGACTCCTCATGTAAACATCTGCTAATGCTGACTGATGTGACAAGGCGTGTTACAGAGACAAAACATCTGTACTTTTAAAAGCAATTTGATTAGCTCATTGGAGGGTTACTCGCATTTAACACTATGTTTTATGCACAGTAAATTTTCTTCAAACCAAAATACTTAGTCACAACTCTGAATATGTTCCATATCAATAATGTGTTATAAATATTTGATAATAAAAGAAATACTTTACTGTTTGTATGAGGGAGGTGTGATATATAAAGGTTTCTTACCTGTATACATCATTGTTTATTCTACTTAAGTACTTATGTAAACTTCCAATAGATGGCTATTACAGACAGGCTTGATGTATTATAAACTACACTACGATCTCTGAGAAACTTATCTTCAAGGTTTACACCATTTGCTAAATACCACCTGTCTTTAAATATTCTCTCAGTTTGATTGGCTATTAAAGACACCTACCTCAAATCAACTGTAAAAGAATATAAATGTAAATATACTTTTCTGGAAATATACCCATTCTTCAACATTAAAGAGATATACTGTACATAGCAGTTAGAGTAAAGTTTACAGAGATTGAGCACATGTAGAAAATTAATTACCGGTATAGTACACGAGTCTATTCTATTACAACAGGAGACACTTTAATTGAAATGTATTCGTTTCCTCAAGATCTAAGAGCTATAAAGTAACTGGGGTATTGGGGTAAAAGTTTACAGAGTGCATACATGTAGAGAATAGATTTGAGCATATTCCATTCGGTCCTACATGGAAAGCTCTGTGAATCACACCAGTACTCAATAGAGGGAGGAAGGAAGAGATTTATGTGACAGACGTCTGGCGCTCTAAGGGATCCCGACCCATCGCCTCTCAATCGTATTGCTTTTGTCTCTGGATGAGGATTTAGGCGAGTGTCATCGCTAGCAGCCTGTGGAGGGGTTGGAAGCTGGGCGTGACAAGCTGGGCGTGGCAAGGTGGGCGTGGCATAGAGGTGGGCGTGACAAGGTGGACGTGGCATAGAGGGGTGCTGAGGATGCCCGGGTTACAGGATGGGTTCAGGCAAACCAAAATAAACATATAAGGGCAAGTCAAAGCCGTGCAAGGTCTTTACTTATAACTATATATTGTACAGTGAAATCTGTATACTGTTAAAGACTATTCACGAGAGAGAAGAAAAAAAAGGCATGTAGACTTACATACAGGTTTATGTACATGTATGTACAATTTCCTTTGGTTATTAGGTTTCATTTTCCAAGGAAACAAATATTGTGGTCTTTATAGACAAGTCGGTTGCTAAAGCAGGTTCCACTGTATTAAAAACTGTCAATACTACTGGGCCAGAAGGGATTAGACCACCAAGCCAGCTCACTGACAGGTGGCTATCTCATCAACTCAGCTCTCAACTAACATAAGAAAAAGAGGATCATGGGGGACCACCCCAGGCACCGATTGGGGAAGTTTTCTATATAGAGGGAGCAAGTAGCTACAAGTAGGACAGTGGGGCTTTGGATTAATAGCCCTACTGCTACATGTACAGTATGTATCTAGAGATTGATGACACATGTACATGTATGGGACACCAAATAGCCAACTACCTTGGATATGCCCATAAACATGTATCATTAATCCCATGACTACTACACTCTCACATCGCCCATATGTTTAATACAGGAACAACCAGGTTCCAGTAGACAATGGGTTAACTTGTTACTGTTAGTAATCAGGTTACATCACTCATACATGTAGGCAGCAAACAAATGAAAAATGAGTGATCTAGTTTCATCACTTTTCCCAAAAAACTATGCATTACATATTATTTACACTTCCCAAGTCAAATTTTGCACAAGTTAACCTGTTTTTGCGGTCCCAACAGAATCGGCTAATGCAGAGCTTACTGTAGCTATAGTGGCCAAATTATGTTTTGAAACCACGTATGTAACTGCCAACAACTGTCCCTGTTTATGCCTGAGCTTCGAAAGCATTTTAATTCCATATTTCCATCAATTTTCTTTAATCCCTCTTAACATACAGCATCAACCCCTACTTTGTCAGAGTAAACAGGATCAACCTTCTAAATAACGAACACAATTTGTCATAAATTTATTTTGCTGCAAATTCTGGCTTTCAGGAGCTAAATATGGTCGAGCCACAGACACAACTTTGGCATGATATCCGCTCCGAAACCATGCCAAAGTTGAGCTAGACGCCCTGGTCGGAACAATTTGGCAATAAACATAAATTGATGATGTCAGTAACATGAATCATGGCTCAACAGTCACATTCATGTGCTCTCACTTTTTAAGGGATCAACGCAGCGAAATATCGTCTACAGTACTGTGGATGTATTGATGCAATGTGTTTCCATTTTGCATTATCAGGCATTTACTGGTAAGTAATTCATAGATGACCACCGATACAGATAAAATTTTACGACGAAAAAGTCATTCTCTTTCACTCTCTCTCCCACCCTCTCTCTCTCTCTCTCTCTCTCTCTCTCTCTCTTTCTCTCAGTCGATATCTATATCTCCCCATCTGTCTCTATCTTTCTCTCTGTCATTTTCTGTCTGTCTCTGCCTCTGTCTGTCTCTCTCTCTCTCTCTCTCATTTTACATACCATGGATATATCCTCTATATCATTTTTCATGAGGAATCTGGAATTCTAGTGATGAAAAACCCACTCTAACAAAATCACACAATATTTACACAACTAATGAATGATACTATACATTGTAGGTCTGAAGAGTTTTGCAGGAGAAAAGTGTTATTGTCCAGTAATAAGTAAAATATGAAATTAATTGAGTTGTCAGGACTATTGATCAATTACTTTCGCTATCGATATATTGGCCAATATGTCAAGATCTATATTAAGATATTTCAGTGTGGTTTAATGTGGTCTTAAAGGGAAAGCACACATTTATAGCAAAAACCTCTAAAAGAAAGCAAAACAAATCTGAGAAGCAAACTTGTGAAAGTTTGAACAAAAAAGATCACAAAATAAGGAAGTTTAATTTCTGAAAGTTGTAATCACTAAACATACAATTTATGGGAACTTCAAATGGGCTGAGTCGGCAATGTCACTGTGCTGTAGTACAGGACAACTTTCCATTTGTTCCCACACATAAAATGAAAAAGAATTGCATTTTTGTTTAATGTGTGACTTGGGAAGGTCAAGATTTCTTTTAGAGGACCTACAATAATATACTGTCCTTTAAATATTATGAGTAGTGTTCCAAGGGTGAAGGCACTTGGGAGAAAAACAGGATTTTTTTTTTTTCTTCTTCAAACTTTCGCCAATCCATTTCTCTTACTTTTCTGCTTTCGTACAAATGAACTTATTACAAGGGTTTGAGTGCCCTTTAAGGAGCATTTCCGTCACTTTGTTGGCATTTAGTTTGCAGTAAATTTGAGGATTCTCAGATCAGGTCACATTGAAAAACTTATTTACTGCCATCTACGCTCTAATAGGGAACAATGATCTAGTCCAGATTGTTGAAGTGACAAAGGACTTTCTCTTAAATGAAGCTCGAGAGGGCAGCAATTACTTTTATTATGGTACAGGGTACATGTATATTGATAAACAAATGTTGCCAAAAACATCTACAGTGTACTACTACTATTACTATGACTATGATGATGATGATGATGATGATGATGATGATGATGAGATGATGATGATGGTGATAATGATGATCATAATAGTTATTATTATCATAATAATAACAATAATAATAATAATAATAATAATAACAATAATAATAATCAACGATAATAATCTTTATAATAACAATGCTCATACATAGCATATGTAGCAGGTATACTGTACACAATACACCAGGATGCAGAAGGGTATACATGTACATGTAGCATCCTCTCCAAAAGACATTTATAAGCAACAAACAAGCATCAGACCCAGGAACTCCCAAATGGGAATCAACAGCCTTCATTAATATACCAGTACTGCAGGATCATTCCATCTTTTGTTGTTGTTACTTACCCTACCCCTTTCAAAATTGGCTCACATTAGCTGTGCAAGGTAACTGAGCTTCTCACAGCTGAAGTGTTAGTCCCTTCAGCATATAAAATGGAATTCTCATGCATGTTTGCAAATGTTGGCAAATTTAGAAAGATAATTTACACAGGCAATCAAAATGTGCCGTTGTTTACATGTGGACCCACGTCTTATAAAGAGTTTTGATTGATCCAAATTAATCGCAAGTTTGCAGTGACATCATTCGCAAATAAGTTGCGATTAGTCAACTCTTGATAAGATGGGGCACTGGACATTATCTTAGGTTCAATGCCTTCTTAAATTTCACCTCTTGAGCAGAGAATATAGAGATGGACTTTACTGAATTACCTGGCTATATTTTCTACATCATCATAATTTGAAATACATGATTAATATTTTTATCTTTTGTTTAGTCAGTGTGTGAGACACTGGTTCAAGCAGTTGGGTTTTGATCAAATAACGCTTGATTGACTTTGTACATGTGGTCGATAATCACCGCCGCTATGCCCGAAACCGCCCCTATGCCCGAAACTACCCCAAAGACAGAGAAAATTAATTGAATACCAAATGTGGCAAATATCACATTGTAATAATTATAACTAAAAACTCAATGATGTACTGATCAAGGGTATGGTGTTGGTGGGTCGTGATTTTTCCAACCAACTTCAGAATATATTATGCAGAACTAAAGATAAAGAAATAATCCTATATCAGTTAATTAGAAGACCTAGGCCTTGGAACACAAAGGGTGTAGCTAATGGTCCGATCATAATCATTTTTTCATTGTAAAATAGAGGATCAAAATGCTCAAGTGTACCTAACATGGCTGACTACATGTATATCTCTTTGTTGCATCTTATTTCACAGCAACAAAATGACCAAGAGATGTTGAGATATATTATGCTGTGTCCAAACTTCTCACACAAAATTTTCCTTCATATTCCTTCCACTACGACAATTATTGGATTCAAATCTGTAAATATCTGCAAGATTGTCAACGAATGGTGAAAGACCGTAACAGATCCGTGATTATGGTAGGTACGTTGGAGTGTATAACTGTATTTTTGTAATATATATAGGGTAGAGTACCCAGTATTCGGCCACTTAAGGGGAAATCACTAATATTGTGAATTCTTACCTCTTTCATTGGGCAATCTACCCATCAAAAGAAAAGAAATTTATTCCTCTAACAGGATTTTATAGTCACTGAAAATATAAAATAACGATAAGCAAAAGACTTCCGAAAGAAGACGGAGCATTTTTCTGCCCAGAATTCGGTCGCGCCGACTAGAATTCGGTCACGCGATTTGTGCGTGGTATCTCCGTTGCAAAGGAGCGTAGCGTATTTGCGCACTATTTTCACACAATTGCGCGATAAAGCACTGAATGTCAATGCGTTGACCGAATACTGGCTGAGCGATACCGCATGGCAAGGGTATCGTATAAATACCTCTTGCACATCGGCAAGTGCGTCATTTGCAAATTCGCTGCGATGGAGCGAACACGGAAGTGATTCTCTTCACACACATACTAAATTCATTGTGACAGCACACGTAGTTGTTTCGCAATAGACTTCTACATATGGCTATGCATGTTAGCGCATGTGCTAAGAGAACGCGAAAGTGCGGAAAGTTGTGCGACACTAACCAATTTCGAGCTAAGTTGGAGATCTTTCCGGGGCCCTAAATCTGATTTAATTTTGAGAGTTAAGAAAAGTTGTTCAGCTGCCTGATTTGTGCAAGTTTCGTGGCTCATAAATTATTTTTTTAATTGTTACAGCTGTTGAAACGGCTGTCTGACCGAATACTGGGAATTGACCGAATACTGGGCGCGCTACCCTAATTCAATAGATATTTTTATTTTGTAATTCTTTTTGTTTAGATCTAGCAATTTTCAGAATTTGACGATGGGTGCACAAATCGTATGCGTAGAACGCTTACGTCCGGGTACTGGCCTCCCTAGTCAAAGCCAAAGTCAAATGCAATCCAACCCATGACGACTGAGAAGTGAATATTCAAATCAAATGATTAATTGATATTCATTGAATACCAACCCCAAGTTTTGGTTGCAATAAAGAAATAACATTAATAATAATAAAAGAATACCGCAAACAAATATATAAAGACGGGTCGGCGTGACCGCGGAGGAGTAGTGCATTGTGCATGGTAGGCACTAGACCGAATTTTCCGTCTCTTTCGTTCGTTAGCCTCTTATTGGGGTAGGGTCGGCTCTCTCTTTAGAGACGGAAGCCGTTTATACACATGTCCTTGCTAACGCCACGGCCAGTTCTGGTCGTAGCGTTTTGCCCCCAAAATCCCCCAAAATGTCATTTTACCTCGAGCATGTTATATTGTAAATTAGGCCTAGGCTATAATAAATCAGTTCCACTTACCAACTTGACTGAAATAATCAGTTTAATAGTCCCTTTTTAGGAAATTATGGGTCAAAATCGAAATCCATTTTGAAAATCTTTTTCAACATGGAGCACAGAACGATCGCCTATGCCAGCCTATGTTGAAGATATCACGGCTAGATTTTAGCCGTTAGGCCCCTCCCACAAACATGAACAAACTTGCCACGGCCGTATTGTTATGCCCCCAAAATCCCCCAAAATGTCATTTTACCTCGTGCATATCCAATTTTACATTAGGCCTTGGCTATAATACATCGGTTCCACTTACTTACTTGATTGAAATAATCCGTTTAATGGTCCCTTTTAAGGAAATTATGGGTCAAAATCGACATCCACGTTAAAAATCTTGCAAGCCGTGAAACTCTCGCTGCCGTCAATCTCATCCCTTCTAGTCTACGCCGAAGGCAAAAATGATTATGAAGGAAAAACTGTGATAACGCCATTACGAACGTGTAGATGGCGCACAGTTTTTCCTTCGTAGTCTCAGTGGAACAACCGACGATTATAGAGACTGAAGCTTTCGGTCTAGTCTAGATCTACATGATGTTGAGATGTGATTGTGAATCAGCTTGAACTTACGGTCATTTACGGAAATAGTATGATTTTGGAGCATCGCATTCAAAAGTATGTCTATTTCAACAATAATTTTTATTTTCTCCCATTTGTTTTCTAGATGTGTGTACAAAGTTGCTGCCTCTCAGCACGTATACAGCGCTAGATAGAGATCAATACGCATTTAACATTGACGCTATGCTTTGCTGGAGCTGGAGTGAGCACTACCTGTCTAGCTACCCAGCCGGTCCGCCTGGCTGCCGGGCCCCGAGTACCCCATTACAGTCCTTTGCCTTTGGCTTAGGACGGGCGCAGCGCAGTGCCTCATTCGGCCGAGGGCCGAGTGAATAAAACATAAAATACCTTATATTTCACAGAAAAAACATATATAATCATACCACTCACTACGTCTCTTTCTTTAAAAGGCAGAATATACAAACAGAATTGCTTCTGAGATCTCCAGCCACAGTTCTTTCCTATCCGCGGGTTCAGGCTCAGCTCATTTCACAGTATATTGTTGACACTGGTAGCTGCCATATTGAATATCCACAACCTCTTTCCAGAAATCGAAATTCAATTTCCTTTACCCGAGATTCTGGAATTAGAATGCTGTGTTCTCTTCAATTTTTCCTTCTCATATAGTTGGCTCTTTTCAAAAATATATAACAGGCCTCTCATTTCTCTTTTCGATGCTGTCAAAACTTGGATTTGTTGAATCCTTTCACCAGTTATAATACTCTCTCTTCCTATCTCGCTCTCTCTCTCTCTCTCTCTCTCTCTTACTCTCTCTCTCTCCTTCCCTCTTTACAATCTTTCTTCTCTCTCTTTGTCTCTTAAGTGGGCCTCTGAAACATAAAATTTGCTCACTTTGGCTACTTTTTATTTATTTTAAAAAATCAGTCGGTGCCATCGTTTTCAGCATCCAATTTTACATCGAAAACAGATTTTTTTTTACTGAGAGTGAATGTCATTTCCCTTTTGGAGCTGCCTTTGTATACATACCTAACTTTAAATTCTAACAGCATTTGAAAGATAATACTAATTTAGAACTCCCCTTAAAAAAAGGGGGGTTGAATATATCTTTAAGTTAGAAAATAACGACTATTAGTTGTCGATTCGACTTAGAAGCTATAGAGCCAATAAGTAATATTCTTGATTTTCAGACCATTGTACCGCATGGTTGCACGTTTTATGCTGCGCAAAGATTCAATCAGTTTAATTTTGGCCATTACAAGAAGTGGGTTATTGATGTAGACAAATGCTCATGTACCCTTTACAGCTTATTTTATTACCAAAGAAGAAGAAAAAAGCCTGTCAGTCACGCAATAGTGTCTGACAGTGAAGTCTAACAAATAAACGGGTTTCCTTATAATTTGAATATTAGGACACTGCTAACGTTTAAATTTCACAGACATACATGACATATTCATAATTCCTGCAAAGTTCTACAGAATTTGAGGTTGGCTGCAAAAGGGACATAGTATCTTTAAGCTTTTGCATTATACTTTGCAGTTAGTTGAGATGGTGTGAATATGCATGTGCGAGCGAGCGAAGCGACCATGAATTTTTGATATTTGTGAGGTCGCAGTGCGAAAAAACGTCACATTATAAAAAGGAAAAAAAAACCTCCTTATCGTCTTTAAAAAGAAACAAAACTATATTACCATAAAATGCGAGTGAGCGAGCTTTTGGCGAAATTTAAGAAAAAGTTGCTCTTAGTCGCTTAGTCGAGCACATTTTATGGCGAAAGGAAAAGGGGCACATATCCAAAGTTAGAAGGACACTAATTTTTATTGGACAAGAAAAGGAACACGAGTCAAAGTAAAAATCGAAATTATCAGAGGTGAAAATTGGGCTCTCTACTCGCACCTGATAAGGGGCATTCACCATGCACTGATAGATGAAAATAGGCACCAATAAAAACGGAAAAGGGCCACTTGTTACAAACGAAAAGGGATAGGGGCACGTGTCAAAATAAAAGGGACACTTAGCAGAAATGAAAAGGGGCACTTATTACAAAGTTAAAGGAGTCACTTTTCAAATTTTAATGAGTGCCCTCGCCGGAACTGAAAAGAGGGATATATCCCGGCTGCTATCGACTCAAGCTTCCTTGCTTATGATAGTTGGCCTCTGCATTTATCTTGATTATTTTTACTTACCTCCATACTTTCAAGCTTTCAATTATTCGATTGTAATAGAGGCATTTATCAAATCATTACTCTAAGTACCTTAATATTATTACCTTGAACTTTCGATCTTATTACCTTGATAACAACCATACTTGAGCCCGAAAACTCGCACAGAAAACGTTGGATATTTTTGTTGTGTGTGTGTGTGTGTGCCTCTAATGAGGTGTTTATTTACATTCAAATATCAAAATAAAGTTTTGAGAACAAATATAATTGACGTACAATGATATTAATAGAAATCACATATTTTCTGAACCATACAATATTTTGCTACTTTTCATTTAAAGTGCTTTTAACAGTTTCTCTGGGCGTCTTTGGTCTGGCTTTTTTAGCTCCTGATTTACAACAATTCTGTTTTTGATTTCTCTTTCAAATACGTAATGTAGTTAGAAACGGTTTTCATTAAATCCATACTTATTCCGGACGACTAACATTTTATATCAGAATGCGATCGTTGTTACATCGTCTATCTCTCTGTCAATATTAATCTTAAGTAAACAAGAGCATCCATGAAGAAAAATATCAATATTAAAAGTATACTTAACAACAAATTTGATATAATCAACGAAATTCTTATTCTGTTCACATTCGATAAACACGTGCACTATGTCCTCTATGACATGGCACTGAGGACAGTATCTGTCGTCTGCTAATCTCAATTTGTAAAGATTGTTTCTAACAGGTAGTATATTGTACAGCAATTTAAAATTGAACTCTTGTAAACGTTAAATTCATTTTGAACACCGGAGACCAGTCAGTATTTCTTTGTAGTATATTTTCCCAAAAAAGACAGCATCTGTTGGTGAATGTATGTTTAAAAGATATCATATTGTAGAAACGTTTCCTGATTACTTCACTGATAAGTAAAGACACTCTTCCAAATTTAAAATAAGGAATTTCAAGACAGTGAGTATAATATAGTGGTTCAGTTTCTTCATTTTGTAAGATCACTGAACCATATCTTTAAAATAGCTTTCTTCAATTTAGTATAATCGAATAACAAATTTTACTTGCTTTTTCTTGTTTCAAGGTGTACTGACAGGTGTTTACTAGACAACAAAATGTCTTTCTTCAAAGAGGTCCTTTAGATAAATTATTCCACAACTAAAATTTGACTATGAAAATGTATCTTGTACAGAATAATTTGCACAAGTATAACCTTTCACATAGTTCCAGGCTTGTAATATTTTTAGGTAGAAATCAGGAATTTGTGATTTCTGGACATCGAATGATTTATGGTCATAGTTACAGTTTAACAGATGATGTACGCCACCGAGCAAATCGAACCAATAATTACACATCTTTCCATGGACCTTTACTGTCATCCAATAATCTACCAAGCCATCTTAAACGAAAACTCAGTATAATTTATGTAATCCTCCTTGGCTATAATCTTGAGTAAGGATGGACCTTTTGACCTTGTCGATTTTGGATTTCCAATAAAGTTGAATACTAATTTTTTCAATTTATGTAGAGACTTTGGTGGAATATTGTCTACCATCATTAAGTGAACTATTTAAAGCAAGTGATTTAACAACAGTGATTTTTCCAAATATTGTGAGGATTCTGCTCCTCCAGTTATCCAGGAGTTTCTGTAGTTTGGTCAATTTTTTTTCCCAACTCAATTTTGTATAGCATAGTATAAGTATGCAGATATAAAATATCCTAAGTTCTGTACATTTATTGTTGACCAACTTAGATCAAGTTCGGAGAGAGACCACCTTCTCTTGTCATCTCCAATCCAGAAGAGAACAGTTTTATCTTTATTTAATTTCGGGCCTGCGACTTTTCCAAATAAGTCTAATTCATCTATTATATTGTTTAGATAATTTTTATTTTTAACAAAGAATAAGGTGTCGTCAGCATCTTGTAAAAGTTTAAGTGTAGAGTTGCACCCTTTAAAATCAAATTTCTGAATTATATTATGTTTTACTAACTCTATTAGCCATGATTTCAGCTGTCAAAATGAACAATAATGCTAAAAGGGACATCCTTTACGCATTCCTCTCTTGACTGGGAGCGTTTCTGATATCCTTCCATTTACAATGACCAAACTTGTAGGCCCGAATTCACAAAGGAGGTTTGTAGACAAACCTATATGTGCGTCATAATTATATAATTCGATGCGTTTCAGACCAAGATTCAGACAAACCTTGGTCTGAAACGCGTCAAAATGACGCACAAATAACTTTGTCTACAAACCTCGTTTGTGAATTCGGGCCGAAATGTTCGTGTTAAGAACCTCGACCCACTTTCGAAACGACGGACCAAAGTTCATTTTTTATAAATAGTTATTTACAAAAAGCATACCAATAGCATCGAATGCTTTAGTGAAATCTAACATCATAATTGCTCTAGCTACATTTTTCCTTAAAATAAGTATATACAATAATGTCTGTTATTAAACGAACATTGTTAGCCGCTAGCCCGTCCCCCCACTCAGTGTTATTTAGGGTACGCATATGCTCGTTCCCTCTTTTTGAAAGCACCCCCTATCTGAGGACTGCCAACATTTTCGAACCCCCCTTTCGCGGGCTTTTCGCGGGCTTTTCCTGCTTTGGAGACCCCCCCCCCCCCCTAAATCAGGAAAAATGCTCAATGTACCCCCCTAAATTCGGAATAATTTCTCAGGAGTCCAAAGAGATGAGAGAAAAAAAGAAAAACACCCCCTTTTTAAAGAAATCTCCGAGTGAAAAGTCAAATACACCCCTTTTTTTACAATTCTCGGGCCGGACTTTGTCGCACGGAAACTACCCCTTTACCGGACATTTTGGCAACACGCATGCGGTCATTTCGAAACCTGAGTGGGGGGGGGGGGGCCGGGGCCGCTAGACGATATTTAATATACCCAGTTTGGTTTATTCTAAGTTCTTTATATACATTTTTTAACCTACGTGCTAAAACAGATGCTATGATTTTGTAATTACAGTTCAGGAGTGCTTAATATATGCCTCCAATTTTTCAGGCTTAACGGTCTCCTTTCTTATACAATAATGTAATGAATCATTTCCTTCGAGTATTTGACATAGCTTCGTTAGTATGGTTTATTTTTAATAGTCGTTATCCAGACATCGGACTGTAGATCAATAATTACAGCAGAAGTACGGGCACCAAATCCCTGCCTTCGGTTTCGATTCCACATTTTGTCCCAGTATAGATAAATGGGTACAGGTATTGGAATACATTCTTTGAATGCCCGAATGGTAGCGAGACTTAACTTAATGCGACTGTACTTCAATGTTGCACAATTTGTTTATCAATAAATTTCACACGATGTACCGGGATTAAAATATTGAATATAACACACACTTTACTCGGTAACGTTAATAAAATGGTATTCACTAAAAATTGTCTACATAGTTACTTGTATATCATTTCATTTCAATGTTGCTTCTGTTTAT